GAGAGAACAAACAATTATGATCAACATTAAATCCAGCAAATGCACAAATAAACCTCACAATTGCCTTCAGTTTCTGATTATAAATAGTACAATAAATAATTAAATGGCTTTTTTAAATAAAGTCTAGAGCCTGCAAATAGTATTCAAAACGGACTATAACTCCTTAAATAATATAACACAGATGTATAAGAGTGGCCAAAAGCCATTAAAATCGTCACCCTTTATTCAAATATTATTAAAGCATATTGCAAAGTTGTACTTGGAGTTGATTGTGTTATTTGTGAAAACTCAATGAAACATGTCAAACTGTGCAGACTATTTTTTATTTTTTTTGACTGGTCGTCAAACAAAGAATTTATCATATTCCTTCACAGAGTTCTGATAAAGACTCACATCTTGAATAGACTGACTCAATGTTCTTTACTTACTCATTAGACACCTTCCATGCATTAGTTCCATACTGGGCCATGAGCTCAAGGTTCTCAATGCGCACTGCCTGGTGCTCCAGCTGGGCCATGGAGTTGTTGACACTCTCCTGCCATGCTGTGATGTCATTCTTCTGCCCAGACGATGGAGCAGGGAGCTCATATCTAGGAAGACAAGCACACGTATATAAGATCTAACAGCAATCACCACACTTTAAGAATATTTGGATGAGCTCTTTACTGAATGGGAACTCGAAACTATCTGCACTGCACTTGTATGCGGTCAACAATGAAGCTAATAGCAGGATAATGAATAGTGTAATATTTCACTGGCAAATTAGCTATTAACAATATACTTTCTGTTGGGGTAAGAAAATAATTACTTCCAGATCTGTTACAATATTACTGCAGTTTCTCCTCAAAAAAAGTTCATAAAATATCATAAAACTAATTCATGTGAATTTTGCAATTTTTTCCAAATTTTCTGAAGAGACTTGATCGACTTAAATGACGAACAGATTTAATTAATTCACATTTTTTTAACCTCATTGGATCTCACAGAAGCTCAAACATTCTGCATAACACGAGAATGAACCTCATTGGTTCTCGCAGAAGCTCAAACGTGGAGTGTAACACGAGAATAGACCTTTTTCACAAAAACCGGAAATACGTATTAATCGTTGTGGAAACGGAGTTCCCGTCAACTGTCGACACATTAGAAAAACCTACTCTGGGAGGAGAAAATTGATCAGAGAGTCTTCAAAACTTCGAAAAAATGTAAACTTGTCATAGTCCAGTTGTTGATGACTTTTTAAAATGCTGTGGTGATGTTTGTCTGCAGCTGATGTATCTAAGATCAAAGATATGACTATTGATTTCAGAACTGAAGCTCATTCTTCCCAATATACGTTCATTAAAGGTAAGAATGTGGAGTGTGTGGAAAGTTATTCATATTTAGGGAGTATTATTTACAATAAACTGCATTTTGATGTGAATACCAGAAAGAAGTCTGTCAGTTTTATTAAACAGTTATCCTGAATTTTTTGCACTGCTGTTGCTATAGAACGATCAAAGATGAAGAAAAACTATACAAATATTAATTTATCCCTTGTACACTCAGATTGTTAAATACTCAGAATGGTATATATTAATATTTTAAATTTATATGTAGCCCACTGTTGTGTGTTCTTATTTATCTTGTTTTATATTGTGGTGTATTATGTGCTTATTCCGCTGGATACAAATATCTTAATAAAGTTGAACATGAACTAACATTACTTCAAAAATAGACAAAACATAAAAAATAAACAAACAATGACGGCTTATTAGTGAATGGTGACATGAGAAGTAGCCTACAGAAGATCACAGGATCAATAACATCCCGCCAGATTGCCTGAATCCATTTCCTTCGAACTTCATCGACAGGGAACTGACGAGGGAAGGAATGAAAACGACAGGTATGGCTGCTTTTGGGAATAACCAAAAAGATCGGTACGCAACAACTCTCACTAGTTGCCTTCGGCGCTATCTGTTATGAATGGAGCGGAAGAAGATTACCACGACAATTGCGTATTTCCGGTCACAAATACGGAAGTTGTGAGAAAGGTCTATGAACCTCATTGGTTCTTGCACGTCAAGCGAACAAGTGTGAGCTTCAGTTTACCAGATCTAATGTCTGTTGATTATTGTTTATATGTGAATAAAAGCCTAAATCATTTTTTCCCCATCATCAAATTCATATGGATTAGTTTTAAGACCACTTTATGGACTTTTTGAAACATCAAATTGGTAGTTGCGTAGCAGTCTATGACAGGACAAAATCTCTCAGAATTCATGAAAAAGACCTCCATTTGTGTTCCCAAGATGAACGAAAGTCTTACGGGTTTGTAAGGACATGAGGGCGAGTAATATTTTTGAGGGTGAACTATCTCTTTAAGAAGGACGCAAAAAGGCAACAGTTCACGACTTGTTTTGTTTTGCTCAGTAAACTTACCTCTTCATACTGAGCAGCTCCATAGGTTGACGAGCAGCCAGTCTTTCAAACTCATTCCTTATGATCTCCGTCTAATGAGAACAACACAACACTCAAATTATGGAGTTAACATGTAGATTACAGCAAACTAGAAGCAGAAAGGGTCTTTTTCTTGTACCTCAAAGGCAGAGAAATCTGGTGTGGGCAGGTAACTCAAATAGTTCTTGGTTGGTCTGTATCGTCTTGTCTCTTCTTCCACCAGAGCAGCTGCCTTAAATTGGTCAAAACCGATTAATATCCCCCATAATGTGGCTAAATTTAATTCTATAGCATACGTAACCCCGAAAAAATAGAAGTTTAAAAAGCTAAACTGTCTTATTTAAAAACCAGAAGTATCGTTAGTTAGAAGCAGCCGTTAGCTATCTGACTTGTGCCAGGAGGTCAAATACTTATTATTTATATTTATCGTCGTTTTAAAAAGACAGAACGAACAAAAGTAAATGTTCAGTATACTTACGGCTTCTCTGACCCCTGGAGCATCATAGCCCTGGTCGAAATACGGCAAAGCATCAACAAAAACATCACCAGCGACTGAAGCCGGTCCTGCCATCCTTTGCGTTACAAACACACGCTTCGCGCTCTGCTTCTATTATGATTGGATGGAATGAGTAATGAACATCAGCGCCCCGTGTGTACCGGAGGATGTACTTAGGAAGTTTCACGCAACTGCTATGTGTGACTATTATTCTATGTTTAACCCATTCATGCATTCATAGTAAACAACCTGCATTTAACAGTGAAATCAATGGTTTCTTTTCAGATGATATTTTATCAAAAGAAGATTTGGAACATGCCACTCTCAGAAAAAAAGGTACAAAAGCTGTCACTGGGGCTGTGCGTTTTCAAAAGTTCCTAGAGTGAGCATTTTGGTACCTTAATGGTACATATTAGCACCTAAAATGTACATAATAGCACCTAAAATTGACAAAAGTTTTCCCTTTTGAAAAGGTACAGACCCAGTGACAACTTTTGTACCTTTTTTTCTGAGAGACTTGTTTACAACAAAAATTGAATCTGTTAGAAAGAAGTTTATTGTTAAAGTCAAGAGAAAACACACAGAGTTAAGAGTTTTAAATTATAACTGAAATCTTTTCTGAAGACCACTCAAACCCATGCACTGACACCGATGTGGTGCTGACAAAATGTGTTTTGTGTACAGTAGGGGGACTGCAGATGTAAATTAGCCTATGGCTAACTCAATGCATCAAATTGTAACATATATGTATGAAATTGTGCATGGTCCCTAATAAATAATAGAAAATAATAATAAAATAATAATTTCGACAACCTTAGTCAGGATTTTTTTCTCAAGTCTTTTTATTGCTCTTAGGCCATGAAAAACAAGATCTGAACTTGTTTACACATATTTTACAGAGATTTTTTAGATGTCCACTTGACAGTATGCGTTTTTGGTATTAACCGAAGAAATAGGCCTACTGTATTTACATAATACAGTAGTAACAACACAGCAATTCTGTGTGCATTTAACAAACCAATGTATAAAATGATATAAAACCATGTGCAAACTATAAAATACATACAAAAAAATATAATACAGCGCAATGTTCCTGTTCGACCAGCAGACGGAGAAGAACTTCATACAAGTTGAACATTGCATGTCTCTGATATCAGAACATGAGGACGTGATTCCATTAAAGATCCGGTGGAGGTACAACTCTGTGGAAACCCAAAAATTAACAGTGATATGAGTTTTTAGAGATGTTACTTTGTGTTATACTTTTTTTTTTACCTCCTATAGAAGGAATGGATGGATATTAGGGCGCGATCTTGGTTTGGAGGGGGAAAAAATCCACATACAACTGCTTGCCACTTGATGGCAGTGTATAAGATGATGCACTACTATCTACTGTCTTGGTTGACACTTGGGTTTGATGTGTAAGAAATTGCTTTTTGAATAGCTGTCCACTGTCGTAACCTCTATGCATGAAAGGGATAAAAATAATAGAAAATTATCAAAACTAACAAATCCAGTCATGTAATGTCAAAGACAACTGGCTGAAACTATTAGATTGTAGCCCCCAAATTCACATAACTGCTACAGTTTTAATAATACACTGCACTTTCATTATAAGTTATATACTATATATGAAGAGTTCAGATGCAAAAGCCTCTAAATGCCATTTGAAATTTTCTTCTTTAATGATGATTTTTATCAAACTTGTATATTTAAGTTCATTAGTTTCACGTAAATAACAATTAATAGGTAATTATCATTGCCATTTAAGTGAAATCACTGAACTTAAATATACAAGCTTGATAAAAATGACCGTTCTAGAAGAAAATTTCAAATGGCACTTAGAGGCTTTTGCATCTGAACTCTTCATATTTTAAACCAACGGATTCTTGATTTTCTCATTCGCTGGACATTCATTCAAATTTCTAATTTCCCCAACAAGAACACATGGTTTGATTCACACTGCCTGCCCACCTCTGCATCTAAAAGATGTTTTTATTTTCAAATGTTACAAAAAGTCTAGTTTATCTACAAAAAAAAAAACTGTACAAAATGTAAAAGCCTCTGATAAAATGACACATCTGTATTGATATTTTGCAAAAAGCAAATGTGGCCAAAACATAAATGTTTGACATTTCTGTACATATGAGGAATCATAAATTAATTATTAAAGGGGAATATCCTTCATCATATTTTCTTTTAAGCTAAGTTTCCAATTGGAAGAGGTTTAAGCTTAAAACTTAATCTTACCTTATTGTCTGGCTGGCTTAATAAAAAATACATTAAAGACAAAATCAAGTAAGACATCTGAAATGGACATTAACCCAAACCTTGTTTATCATGCATTCATAGTCAGTTTTTTCCTTATCTATCAAAATGACAATAACACGAGAGGCTCCTCCCTTTCCTCTTTGTTCTAATTCAGTTGCCTTTGTTCCTTGTGCTTATAAACTCATTTCCAGTCTTTTCCTCTTATGTGATAGGGCGGCAAATCTCAGAATTTTCAGAGCAGAACAAGCTGATTGCAGTCTTGACCTCATCACCACCCTCGAGTGTTCGCTACGGGAGAGGAACTGACATGCTGGTTGAGTCATCACATGCTTTTGAAGAAGAAGAAAAAAAGATGTGGCCCCTCATACTTGGCGTCTGACACCGTTCTCTATTTCTTCTGCAGAAATTTCATTTTATTCCCTGCAAACAAACATTTTTGTGAGTGAAAAAAAAAGTTGACAAGTAAATAACTTTTTATTCAAGACAAATGGAAAAGCGAAAAAAAAGATTTACCAAGCCCCTTGAGAAATTTATTGACTCCACTGGGTTCAGGTTCAGGATATGAATCCAAATAATCTGCAGCTCTCACTTCAAACAACCCTGTTAAACGACAACGACATATTCCTCTCAATACTCAAAGGAACAGGTCATCCAAAAAATGACAACTTTAACCAGGAATATTCCTTCTCTCACCTTTAACACCTCCCTTTCTGAGCTCTCGGTCATGAATGAAACCTGCGAACATCTGCGTGTCCATGAAGAGCTGAAGAAACTGCCGCACTCCTCGGGAAGGATGAGATTTCCTGAAAGCGTCTCTCTGCAGCTCTCGGGTCCCACCGGGTCCTACGTCGCTCATATTGAGAGAATAATGTCCGACCAGCTCAACAAAGAACCACACGAACGCCTCTGACACCAAAGTGCTCAGGTCTGACTTCTCTGTTGGGAAAATAAAACTGCAATGTGACACTGATCATCCACAGCGTAATCTATTTAGCCCTTTTCAATGTTTTTCAAGTTTTCATGCTTGAATATTAAAAAAAAAACATTAATTTTCACATATTTTACAATGTTGCAGCACCTCTCTTCCCAGTCTGTTTTTAAAAAAGCATCATGAGATAAGTTTATTAGTAGCAATGATTCTACAATGGGAAACGCAGCCCTGTTTAGTTTGACTCTATGAAGCCCTTCCTTCCGTAAAGTGCAATGTGCTCTGATTGGTCGGCTGGACCAGTGTGTTGTGATTGGTCAACCTCTTCCAGCACGACTTACCATAACTATGAGGCTGTGTATGAAATCTCCCACTACTCACTTTATAGTGGACTATATAGTGAGCTCACCATTTTGTAGTGCTGTCTGAATGTATAGTGATGATTATTATACCCTATATAGTCCACTCAATGTATCCCAGAATCCATTTTGAAAAGTAGTGTACAACCGATGGTCACTACCCCAAGCCCTACATACCATGAAGCATTGCGCTGATCGTAAAAATGGCGGACGGACAAGGGGAGCAGTGCAACAATACAAATTTGTCATACAAATGAAAGTTGTTATATGTTTAATCTATGATATGTAGTAGTTTTACAATTTTGTCAGACATGTATAAATTGTTTTAAATAGCGCGACAGCAATGACGATCGAGTAGTGTCCGAAAGTGGTGTTTCTATTATGCTGGTGAGCTCACTATATAGTGCTCTATTCCCTACTCCCTACATAGGGGGTAGGGAGAAGTGGTTTGAGTGGAGATTTCGGACACAGCCTGAGTTTTTTCAGCCTCTGCCTTGGATGGGAATTATTTAAATGAAGAATATTGTGACGTACGTTTCTAGAAGAAAACTCAAGACTACAATCAAGGCGTTTAAGGAAGTTCAGAAACAGTCCTTCCTTTTACTGATATAGATAATAACTCTGTTTGGAGTGACTTTGTGTTTTGTAACTTAGCAGATGATTTCCATGGTAAAACAGCAACATTACACACTAAATGTAATGCCTTTAAACAGGCACTTGAAGAGCCCATAAAATCCGATTTTTGAGGCATTTAGCCCATCTCTATTAGCTTTAAGGCCATATTGCCCTTCTAGGAAAACATAATACAATTTTGAAAAAACTTCAATCAAATGCTCTCTAGAATGAGAATGTCAAAACTGAGACCTAAATCTTCCTGGTTTATGAGGAAATTTGTCAATACAGGAAAGAAAACTGTGCTCATCAAGCCATTGCATTGATCCTTTAATATTTAGTATAACAAGCAAGTGACATTTACCATCGGGCCAGATTAACAAAACATACATCTGAACTGATACTTGTCGGCATGTTCCTGACCTCACTGGCCTTGTTTAACGGTTGGTTACTCATCACGTCATGAATGAACAGACAGACAATAGATTTCAAAATGTTAACAACTCGAAACAAGACAACAGACTAAACCTCCAATCACACAGTGAAACCAGTTTAAAACTGAACCTTGGGTTTGGCTGTGAAGGGAATAACGGCATGTGTGTGTGATGAGTCTAACCTCCTTTTCTGTCCCTTGTGTTTTGTTCTAGTATCTCCTCCCTGTTCTCCAGTATCTCCTGAAGCGCTGCCTGCAGCTTTCTAGGTAAGATACAGTCCTCATCTCCAAGCTAAGACAACAGAAGGGAGGGAAAGATGAGTGTAAGAGCAAATTTAGGAAATAAACAAATATTGATATAGAGACCGGACGGATGAGTCGCCCATGATTGCATTACACAAAACAATTAGTCAGTAATTAGAAGCTGAATAATAATGAATCAAGTATTACTGCATTATAATCTGTGTCTGATGTACATGATCATTCCAATTTGGGGGTCAGTAAGACAAACAAATTAAACAAATTAATATATTTATTCTGCAATGACGCATTAAATTGATTAAGAGTGGCAGTAAACACATTTATAATGTAAAAAAAAAAATATTTCTATTTTTAAAAACTGTACTTCTAAACTTTCTTTTCATTAAAGAGTACTGACAAATAATTATTAGTTTCCACAAAAAATATTTAGCAGCACAGCAGTTTTCAACATTGATGATAATAATAAGAAATGTTTTGTTAATTTCTTGAGTCAGAGTTTGCTATATATTTTCTCTCCTGATGTGTAATGCCCTCGTCTGTCTGGATGGGCTTAAATCCACAGGATGCTTTCCTGTCACATATCACACATTTCAACACTGAAAATAAGGAGGTTTCATTTCATTGAGTTTTAAATAACATTATTGAAGTAAATTTTACAAGAAAATAGTATTTTAGTCTTACTCCTTCAAAATTGAATTCCAATATGTTACTTGCAATTTTTTTAAAAACTATTTGTGAAATTTACTAGTAACTTTTGAGAAACGTTTTAGAAGCCGTTTATGACCTTACTCCAATAAAGGAAAACGGGTTAATGCATTTACATGACCACATGTATTGTTGGCTTATTAAGCTTAATTGGGTTAAGAACGTGCATGTAAACATGTTCACTGAAGTAATGATATTTCAGCTTTGCTATTTTAAAATATATTGAAATTGAAAACAGATTTTTTTTAAATGTAATGATATTTCACAATAATACAGTATTACCATATTTTTGATCAAATAAATGCAACCTTGGTGATCACAAGAGACTTATCTTATCTTAAGAAAAATCTTATCAACCCCAACTTATTATCAACTTCTGAATGGTAGTGTATGAGATAAAAAAAATTGAGTAAATACGGCCAAAAAGATCACTTAAAACCACCACATTTATGACTGACAATGAAGTTCAGCTACTCAGGCCCTGACTTGAGTCTCAGAGTCAGACCAAACCCTCACGAACACTTTCAAAAGGACACACCCTTGTAGTATTAAAAAACTAAAACCTGCATACACACCTGAACGACAAACTTGTCAGCACCCAAATCCACAATAAGCACCTGAAAGAACAAGAACCCATTAGTACAAAGTTAAACGTATGTGTCTTTCAAAAACAGAAAGCATTAAAAAAATACTCCAATGCATTCAAAGTCACTAACTATATGAACCAGACAGGAACCTCAGATGGCAAGCTTGTATAATTTTCTAAAGTTCATCAGGTTCTTAAAACAAGACAAATGCAATCTTGTGCTCACTAAAATGTTTTGGAGTTATGAAGATTTTTATTTAGAACACATATTTTAGCACCTAAAATGCTAAACAAGTACTACTTTGTCACCAAGTCGAAGAGTGTACAAAAATTGGAGCATCTTATAGATATGATTTAATACTTTATACCTCTGCCAAATAGTACTTTATTGCCGGCATGGGGAATTTCGAGTTGTTAAACAACGGCAACAATTCAAGGCATGACAGTTATTAAATTAAACTCCGGCCGTGGTCATAATCAAATCAGAGCTCTACGCTGTTGTTTAGAAGCATCTTATATGGGATCCATGACACCGTCCTAAAAAATCCCCTTGTGGCAGTCTGCGTTCCAAAGGCCAGATGAGTCCAAGTACGAATGTTCATGTAAAACCTGAATGTTTTTAATCTTCTGAAGTAAAACACCCTAAAGTTCATAACCCAGTCAAATTACTGAAACTAATATGAGAAAATGGCTAGAAATCAATGGTTTTAATGTCAACCCTGAACACAAGATCAAACATATTTGCACATCAACACTTTTGTTCTGAAGTGTAGCCAATCATAACAGATCATTTATTATACGATCTTTACCATATAGCATAGTAAGAGAAATTATCACTAATAATGTAAAATTTTGGTGCCAAAAAACTCTAAGTCTCAAGTCATTCCATACCTGTATGAATTTATTTCTTATGATGAACGCAAAAGAAGATATTTTGAAGAATGTCGGTAACCAAACAGGCCCCACTGACTTCCATAGTATCTTTTTTGTATACTACAAGTTAAAGAAGTAATTCACTTTAAAACAAAACTTTTGCTTATAATTTACTCACCCCCATGTCATCCAAGATGTCCACGTCTTTCTTTCTCCAGTCGAATAGAAATTAAGATTTTTCAATGAAAATATTCCAGGATTTTCTCCATATAATGGACTTTAATGGGAACCAAATGGTTCAAGGTCCAAATGAGAGTTTTAGTGCAGCTTCAAAGGGCTTTAAACGACACCAGACGATGAATAAGGGTCTTATCTAGGACCCTTTGAGTCATGACTCGAAAAAATATTCATTCATTTTGATAAACAAGTTCGAACAGGAGAGTCACAAACGCTCATCACAGAACAGAGCAAGGCGAGCATTTGTGCTTATAAAACTTAAACATTTTTATTTTTTTTAAAAATGACCGATCGTTTTGCTCGATAAGACCCTTATTCATCGTCTGGTGTTGTTTAAAGCCCTTTGAAGCTGCACTGAAACTCTCATTTGGACCTTGAACCGTTTGGTTCCCATTGAAGTCCATTATAAGGAAAAAATCCTGGAATGGTTTCATCAAAAACCTTAATTTCTTTTCGACTGAAGAAAGAAAGACATGGACATCTTGGATGACATGGGGGTGAGTAAATTATCAGCAAAAGTTATTTTAAAAGTGAACTACTCCTTTAATGAGACCCTTCAACTATTTGGTTACCAACATTCTTCAAAATATCTTCTTCTGTGTTCAGCAGAAGATAGAAACTCATACAGATTTGGAATGACTTGAGGCTGAGTAAATGATGACAGAATTTTCATTTTGGGTGAACCATCCCTTTAAATATGGCAACTGACCTCCTCGATGGGCATATCCAGCACCTGAGGCAGGGATGGAGACAGCGCCCCCATTACAAAAGGAGTGGGAGAGCAGCATATGTCCAGCATGCTGACAGGGAGCACTGGTACAAACGTGTGCTGCCATGTGAAGGGATACAGTAGTGCCAAAGCAGAGTGAGCACATCGGGATAAGACACTGGACAGAGACAAAGAGAGTTAGGTTCAAATTTAATTCCAGCTGGCATTCAGAATGGTATATTTGGGTCTCAGCATGGGTAGCGGTCTGTACCTGAGTTTGTCTGCGATGAAGATCACCCTCCTCTCCAGCAGCAGAGAAGCGAAGACCTGCAGGAGTCTGGTCACACTGAGACACTGCAGCAAACTCTCAAAGTCCACGTGCTCCAAACGAGAGTCCACCGGCCTGCAAAGCGTCAGAACCTACGTATACGACAGACACACACGTGACTCTACAAATATTGTGACAAACCGGTTCCTTGACATTTAAGTGATTAAAAAGGTTTCAAATAGGCAAGAAATGATATGTAAAAGGCAACATTGTATAACAACGACAATAATAATATAAAATCGTCTTGACTCTATATTGTTTTGCAGCAAAAAAACAACAACATTTGAATGTTTCAAGTACCTAAAAACCCTTGTTGGAATTTGTAGAAATAATTTTTTAAATACTTTTAACTATAAATAAAACTTAATTAATTTATATAACTATTTATCAGAGTTTATTACATTTTATTAAAATAATTATTTAATATTTTAAGGTATCATGTAACAAATGTGCAACCTCAAATGTATATATTTGAATGCTTGTTCCTTGATTTGTTGTCAATGGTATTAAATGTTAAAATTTATGTTAAAATGAACGTAAAAAAATTGTATTTTGAAAATACAAAAAGTTGTTGCAAGGTCAAAAGTTCATATGGTTTATTTAAATGTGCATATGGTTACGTTTGGTTACGTTGTTTAATGTTTGTGTGAAAGATTTTCATATTTTTTTAAAATAATATAATAAATATATTCTTTTTTTTACAAAATAATATTATAATTTGTTGCTTTTATTCTGATCAGTGGCATGTGTTTGAACTGTTACTGATACCATCATAAAAAATATTTTTTAATGATAATTCTTAACTGGTGTTTCAATTTCTTAATCTGTAAAATAAATGAATTACAAAAAAAAAGGTCAAGTTCTTCTTTATAACTAGTACTAATGTCAAGAACATAACAATCATCTTTTATGCTACGTATAAAAATACCCAAACTAAATTCAGAAGTTCAACATTTTGCAAGTTTTTTAAAAAAATCTATATTTTCTGAGAATTTTTCAGAGAAAAATCAACAAGAAGTATAAAATTCAATAAGATTTAAGTTAAACAATACCTTACCTCATTGCCAGAGCCTGGCAGGAAGCTCTTGACAGTGATGGTGCGTCCAGGAGCGGGGAAGGGAGCTTCCATGACACTGTGCATGAAAGGATGAACCAAAGCAGGAGAAATCTCTCTCCTCCTCTCTACCTCCTCCAAGATCTACTCCCAAACATTTCAGGCAGTTACATTTCAGCATCAACATTTCAATGATCAAACAGGAAATTCATATCTGGTCTTAGAAACGACCCTGACCTTAGAGAACAGATTGAAGCAGCCCAGTCTGCTGATGATGCAGTGAACTTCAGGCAGTCTCTTCCCCTTCCCACCGGGCTGCAGAACACACGGGACAATTGTCAAGGTTAGTGCATATTTACCACTGAGAATACACAATATACTCTCACTGAATACTATTTATTCACCTTCATGTTGTTCCAAATCTCCATGATGATTTATAGGGGCTTTCGCACCGGGTAGTTACAGGAACTTAGTTATAGGATTGTTCCCCAAGAACTAAATGTTCCCCTAAGGCCATTTTCCCAGTTGTATTCACAACACCAGTAGGAATTTTGAAGTGACGTGAGCTGGTCGAAAGCTAATTTAGTTCCCCCAAAATGCGTTCCTAGTATTAAATTTGGTCCCAGTTACTGCAGTACGAACACACCAAAAAGTGCCATTTGTTTTAGGAACTATGAAAAGAGTCCAAAGCCCCTTATGTGAGGTTTGGAATGACATGATGAATCCGCATGTTTGGAAAAAGAATTAAGGAGACCAGGTGAGATTAGGTGTTTCTGTTGAATTAATATGACCACATTTAAAAACTAACCAGGATTTTGCGGCAGTATCCGAATAAACGACTCCCGTCCTCCCCCGTCAGGACAAAAGAAAACGTTTCACTGTGGGTGATAATCAAAAATCATCTTAGAAGTGTGAATTAGTTAGCCAACTAACATAAAACTGATTAATATCAGCATGTTACCTGGTGTGGTCCGAAGATGGACACCAGTCATGACAGTCAGGAAAACAAAACTTAGGAATTGCCCTCAATCTATCTTCGGCCTCACGAGACAGACGAGAAGACTTCTCAAACTAAATGCAAAACAAAGACAAAAAATTATATTTTATATAAATCACATATTTAATTGAATTTTTATACATTATATAATTGATATTTATTTAAACAAAATAAAATAATTATATATATATATATATATATATAATTAACATTTATTTAAAATCATAATGTAAAAAAAAATTCTAAAAATATTTTATTATTTTATATAAAATACATTTTAATTGTAATATATAAAAAGGCATAAATAATATTTTAAAAATGTATTATTTAAAAAGGTCTCTTTACCTTCGTAGGGAACTGTTGTGTAATCTCAGGGATGTACGTGTTTCCAGGGGAACCTTTTCTAAGCGACACCACAACAAATTGCTGAAAAAGTTGCTGCTGTTGAAGCTGGATCAAGTCCCTCTCTAAAGTGCGGTAACCGGGACGCCTTTTTAAGGTTGATTGAACATACACTGTGCGATGGGATCGATCTACAAAAAAAAAAAAATGTAAACAGCATTGATGGGTTTATGAAAACTGCTTAACTGGTTTGACTTACAAGTTAAAGTTGAATAAACTGTGCCACTGGGAGACACTGACCTTTAGAGCTCTCCTCAGGATCACTCTCTGTTCCACTCAATTCATCTGCCATAAAACATACATGTACAAGTTGATTACAATTTTCTCTTGGTAAGCAGGTAAATATGAAATGTGCATCTTTTCTCACCTCTGGTTGCCGTCACCCATACTCGTTTCCTTCCTCTTTTGGCTTCAAAAATCTCCTGGATCCTGTTTACGAGCTACAGGAGAAACACACAAATATTAATCCCTCAGGATTTTGTTCACACAATTGCAGGTTAAATACAACTTTAGTTTTTACACTACAGTTCAAAGATTTAGGGTCAAATTTGGAAAGAAGCCTCTTATGCACAACCAAGACTGCATTTATTTGATCAAAAATACAGTTAAAAAATATTGTTACAATTTAAAATAACTGTTCTCTATTTAATATATTCATAATTTATTCCTGTGATGGCTACAGTTTTCGGTGTCACATGATCCTTTAGAAATAATCCTAATAATTATTATTAATATTAAAAACAGTTGTGCTGCTTAAAATTTTAATTAACAATTAAACAATTAATCGCGATTAATTGCATCCAAAATAAAAGTTTGTGTTTACATAATATATGTGGGTGCACTGTGTAAATTATTTATATATATATATACACACACACACACATGCTTGTATATATTTATGAAATATTTTCATGTATATACTGTATATACATTTATATATAATTTATATTATATATAAATATAAATATTTATATATAAAACATATTTTTTTCTTAAATATACATTCATGTGTGTGTATTTATATATATATACAAAATAATTATACACAGTGCACCCACATATATTATGTAAACACAAACTTTTATTTTGCATGCGATTAATCGCGATAAATCATTTGACAGCCCTAATTTTAATATATGTGGAAACCAAGATACTTTTATTTTTTTATTTTGTAACATTTAGTGACACGTATTTACTGTCACTTTTGTCCAATTTAGTACATCTTTGTAAAATAAAATTATACATTTCTTAAAATAGAACAGCATTTATTTGAAATTGAAATCTTTTGCAACATTATAAATTTCCCAAAATTATAAATAAATGTCCCAAACTTTTGAACAGTGGTGTGCATTAAAAACATGAACATATTACATTGCAATCCCTACAAAATAATGTTTAAAATACGAAACAATATACAAAAGTATAACTAAGACGCTTAAACATTATCATGTGACTAGATGCGTCACAATGACCTGCGTCTACATGTGTATTTCAGACCTGTTAGTCTCTTGGTCAGCAGAACATGACATGCTAATTATGATTCATAGTCATGGAGACCACGGTGGTCTGCCCACATCCCACAGTGAGAGCAGTGAGACAGCACATGGTGGTGGCATCTGCACATGATGAGCGGAAACAGTGTGGTGGTACTTCTCCCCCAGATAAAAACATAATGCTCTCCATGTGTGGAGATGGTAAAGCCCTTTTTAAAGGGATAGTTCTAGAAAATTAGATAGAATAGAAAATTCTGTCATCAATCACTCACCCTCATGTCGTTCCAAACCCAAACCCAAATATGAAAGCTTTCTGTCCCTCCATATACAGCCTACGCAACTACCTTCAAAAAGTTCATAAAGAGATTGTAAAACTTACAAATATTAAATTTTATTAAATATATATAAATATATTAAATATTATTGTGACACGGCACATCTGTATTTCATATTTTCCTAACGTCTTGTACCTTAACATGGTATCATGTGGATGAATAATCATATGCAGATGAGGATATGCATATTTAAACTAGGCGTTGTAAGCTCCATATATGGTTATTTCAGGGAGGAGACGCACGTGCGCACAATCTTCGGCTGACTGGGATTTATAAAGGTAATTCTGCGCAGGTTCTGGCATACGAACGGTTTTATAAATCGGAATATTTTTTGGCGTACGCCACTTTTGGCTTTTGAGCGCACACTTTTACACTCTAAAAACAATGCTGGGTTGTTTTAACCCAAAATTGGGTCAAATATGGACAAACCCAAATGTTGGGTTAAAAATGTAATTAAAAAATTGCAACTTTCACTTTCAACTGTACATTTTTTAATTAAATTTTTAACCCAACATTTGGGTTTGTCCATATTTGACCCATATTTGGGTTGAAATAACCCAGCATTTTTTAGAGTGTAGTAAGGATCCTACGCACAGTTTAATAAATGAGACACCAGATCTGATATGTTCGCTGATCAATGTTTAAAAGTGAATAAAGTCTATATTAATTCTCTTCATTGTATAAAGAGGTCGAGTCTCTTCAGAAACTTTGGACTAAACCGCTCAATTCATAAGGATTAGTTTTAGGCTTTATGAACTTTTTGAAGCGTCAAAAGTTGCGTAGCAGTCAATGGAGGGATGGAAATCGCTCAGATTTCATCAAAAAAGATCCGAAGATGAAAGAAAGTCGTACAGGTTTGGAATAACATGAGGGAGAGTAATTAATGACAGAGTTTTCATTTTTGGGTGAACTATCCCTTTAAGCACTACTCAAAGCAAGCGTCATGTGTTGCACGTCAAAGCAATGAGTTTCAAATGGAGTCACGGAAGGAGGATTTTAGGTTGCTAGGTAGCAGAATGCAAGAATAAACAGTGAACAACATGATCATGTATTTGAGCACACAACTGAAAAAGTTATGACTTTGATTCATTACAGAAAGAAAAAAAGAGAGGGTTCATGAAGCTTAACTGTTTCAGTTCAAAGAAATGAATCACCATGATCACAGGAGACAGTCTAATTTCAAGGTTGTTAACAACAACCAGTCAAAGTAGGACTTTTTTTTTGAGTGACGCATGTGACATTACAAATGCAAATGTTAACAATTATAAGTTAGATTAGAAGTATACCAAACAAACATCAAATGTCAACTAAGGGTGAGAAAGTATTAAAAGTAGGGCTGTCAAATGATTAATCGCGATTAATCGCATCCAAAATAAAAGTTTGTGTTTACATAATATATGTGGGTGCACTGTGTTTAATTATTTTATATATATATATATATATATATATACACACACACACACATGCTTGTATATATTTAAGAAATATTTTCATGTATACTGTATAGATTTATATATCATTTATATTATATCAATTTAAATATTTTATATATATAAAATAATACTTTTTTTCTTAAATATACATGCATGTGTGTATTTATATATATACAAAATAATTATACTCAGTGCACCCACATATATTATGTAAACACAAACTTTTATTTTGGATGCGATTAATCGCGATTAATCGTTTGGCAGCCCTAATTAAAAGTAAATAAATCAATAAAGAATGTTTAAGTGAATGAAAAATATGCTCTTTGTAAAACAAAAAGACCATTTAAAAACAGAATTGGGCCTTTCCAAAATAACAATATGGATCATACTAGCGCAAAGCTGAATATAGCTGATTACTCAGTATGATGCACAGGCACTTCATGATAATCTTCAACCTCTCAAGCTCCAAAAGGAAGTGTTTCCTGCCACCATCCATCCATCTCCTAACCACTTCCTCCCTCTCTTTCCCTCTTCTTCCTTCAAGCACCAAAGCTGACATTTCTATCTAGACTGTTTTTCATACATGTTTCATGTCTGGTTCTTTCTTCTTATATTCACAGCTATTTTTTATTTTGAGATTTGGGACACGGCAGGCTAGAGAAATGTGGTTTATGTATCAAATAATTAGAGTTTGTTTGCAGCTCCTGCTAAAGAATTGATTATGTCATGTAAAAGTGTGGTTAAAGTTCACATGCATACAATCAGATAAACAGGTGATGGCAGGCACATATTGCGCAATGTTTAATGACGTCTGAGGCACGTGTTTGTGCGTGTGGGTTTACCGGGGGTTGATGGTTTGTCTTGTATGCAGTAGCAGGTTTGGCTGCTTTAGGAGTGTTTGTAGTGAAGGTACGTGAAGGTGACGTTACGGATTCTTTGCGTTCCCGTCCCATTTTATGCAGCATGTCGTCGTTAGGTAATAGTGTGAAGGGCTTCGGTGAGAGCTGCATAAAGGTAACAGACAGTGGATTAGAAAGCAGTAAAATAACCCAACGGGTAGCCCAACTATGGGATGGTATAGCACCTTCACAACTGTGGGTTATTTTAACCCAATGCATTCGGTTAAAAGTAACCCAACAGTTAAGTTAACTATTTATTTGTATTTATTACATTAATAAATACACTTAGTTTTCAAATCAGATTATTTATTTGTATAAAACAATAAATATGTCTCCTCAATTATATATTTAAATTACAAATTAAATATTGGGGAGTCTAGAATTTAATGTAAATACATGTAATATGTATTTAACCCAACATTTTTGAAAATAACCCAACATAGTGATCCAATATGTGTAACCCAATGGTTGGGTTAAAAAACAACCCAACATTTTTAACTGTGCAGTGGCCTTTATGTAAAATTTCTTCTTCTTATTGAAATAAATAGTGGGAATAAATGCCAGCAAGGTTGAAAATAGGCAATAGGGGTTTTCCATTTAAATTATAGATAGCTTACAGTCTGTCTATAAGCTATTTTATGCCCACCAAGGCTGTATTTATTTGTTTGAATACATTTTAAAATCTACACTCTTAAGCAATGCTGGGTTGTTTTAACCCTAATTTGGGTCTAATATTGGCAAACCCAAATGTTGGGTTAAAAATTTAAAATCTTCAACTTTCACTTTCAACTGTAATTTTTTTAATTACATTTTTAACCCAACATTTGGGTTTGTCCATATTTGACCCAAATTTGGGAAGAAACAACCCAGCATTTTTTAGAGTGTAATTTATTACTGTGATGCAAAACTAATTTTTCAACATCACTGCAGTCTTCAGTGTCACATGACTCTTCAGAAATCATTCTAATATGCGGATTTGCAGCTAAACATTTTATGTGGAAACTGATAAAAAAAAATTCTGTATTTAAAATGACAGTCACCTTGAGATGTGGGCTCTCTCTATGTCCAACTGTGTAGTTTCGTGGCCGTCTTATAGGTAAACACGTGGAAGAAAGCTTGATGTCTTCATATGGGTTCTCTTTTGGCATATCCGCTGTAAAAGATTGGTTGAAACAACACAGTGACACTTTATTTTAATGGTCTACTTTAGACATTGATTCTACTAACTATAAGCAACTTTGTAACTAAATGTCAACTAGCAGTCATTAGAGTACTAGCAGACTGTCTGCTTAATATCTGCTGAAACTTTATTTTGATGTTCCCCCAACAGACATTCTATTGAACTTTACAACTACATGTCAACTTACTCTAGTAACCCAGACCCTAACCTAAAGGTGATGATACACAGGGCAACTTTTTGAGCAATGTTGCTGGGCATTGTGGCCGTCAACAGGCAACCAGATGAAAGACAGGGCCCACGACCGATCTAAATTATCCAGATAGAAATGTATGGCCCATTTCCATTGGGAAAGTGGCCAAGAAACAATCGTTCGGCAAGATTGCCCAGCATCATTGCTCAAAAAGTTGCTCCGTGTATTATCACCTTAACAGTCTACTAATAGGCTACTACAGTCAACTAATCCACTAATGAGAGTTAGTTGACATGTAGTTGCAAAGATACATATAGTTAGGATAGAGTTTAAAGTGGACCATCGAAATAAAGTCTAACCACCAAAGACATTACTATTATAATTTAAAAAAATTCACAAAAATTTTGTTCTCTACGCTGGCTCCAATGCAATTAGGAATGTGCCAAACATGTTTTTAAAGTCAACTAGTCGGTGGGTTGTCTGTCTTAAGGAAGCCCTCTATAATTAGGCTTGTTTCTTTGGGTGTTTACAATACATAAGATGCATTCTTGCAGTCAAAGGCAACTGAATGGTCTAATGCAGCTCTCTGGGATACAAAAGACCACTGACTGAGTACGGCTGAAGTGGTGATGCTTTCAAGGAAATTAATTTAAGCTGCAACAGTTTTGAGAGAGTTTTCACCAATAAAATAGAACATTACCAATATCACTACCATTTTATAGTTTAGGGTCAATACGTTTTTTTTTTTTTACTGAAATAAGTATTTTATGTTCAACAATGCTGCATTTATTTGATCAAAAATACAGCGACAACAGTTATATATTGAAAAATGATTACAATAGGCTATATGCATGCATAATTTCCACATTTGACACAAGGATGCTCTTCAGTTTCCGGTTAGGGAGATTTAAAGCGCAGGAAAGCCGAGGAAAACGGGATTATGGCAAAAATTCTTCAAAATTTTGATTTCATTTTATATATAGTTATGTTTTTTTAATATAATAAACAAAGAAGCATAAATAAAATGAGGGGTGTCTGTTTTGTCTATTTTTGTGATTAACGTTTCTTTAGTATAGCCATGGAGTATAGAAGTCAATATAAAGTCTCGTATAGCATTGGACTATACGATCGGTGGAAGTACTCCAGCATTAGACCTTCACAGGAAATACATCATGTGTCGCCATGCATAGAGAATATTGAATGTAATTGTTATACATAATTCTATACCTTTTAAAATGTATTTTTATTCCAGTGATGCAAAGCTGAAAACAAGTTAATTTCTTTCAAAAGAAAAAAATCCCCAGACTTTCCAATAGTGTATGAGAAAAAAGTCTTTATCAAGATTTTCAATTCATGCAGACATACTTTTTCTCGTACTTCACAGTAATATCTGATCAATGACATGTGTCTTGGGAGTCTCAGAATCACTCACAGATGATGTCCTCATAGATGCTGTCTTCAGACAGGGCGTGGAAAAGACCCGACCGGCGGGCCTCCTTCACTCTAGAGGCCTGTTGGGCTGACAGCCGTACCACATCCTCAAACTCAAACGACTTCCTGTGGAGAAGAGGATCAAGATAGGAACAGTCCCTGTATTGTGATCTAACAACAGGTTTGGGGTATGTCATAAAGGGTAATCATTAATCCAAAAAGGAATGCACTAGAATGCATAACAGTTCAAGCAGACATGATATAGATTATGGCTTGAACAGACTCCGGGTTCCAAATGATCAAGCATAAAAACAATTAGAGGAAGGAGTAAACACAACAGTGTGACCATAGGAGTGTTCAGAAAGCCCTTGCGTGACCACTGTAGTCTTTTCTGAAACAGAAGTAGGCCAAATGTGGACAATGGGCTGCGATTCTGCCAAAGCACAGCTGACATCACAGCTGGGGACGAGGCCAGACAGCTAAATTATCACCCACTCACAGTTAAACTCTCCTCACTCTACTCTGCCTTAAAGCTGTCCAACTCAAAGTATGAAATAAACAATTACAAGTAGAATTTTACATTTTCTTTAGAAGTGTTGTAAGTGGTTACAATGTCATTGCTATGCAATTGCTAATGTGTTCTGAAAATGGTTTCAAACGCTGTGTCCAAATTCTATTCTATTCTATTCTATTCTATTCTAAATGGTATTCAAAAATAAAATAAGTGTGTTCCAAATAGTGTAGTAATAGTAATACGACATCCAGATGGTCTACTTTTTCCGTTTAGATTCAAATAGAACTACAAACACACATTTAAAAAAGTGTTAAAAACTACAAACATGGTGGATGTGCAAGTCTGACAGTTATGTGAAGAGGATTAGATAAAGGGGTTTATTGTTTATAGTGATTAATAATCAGTATCTAATTGGATGAAAATATGAAGAGTTCAGATGCAAAAGCCTCTAAGTGCCATTTGAAATTTTCTTCTAGAAAGATCATTTTTATCAAGCTTGTATATTTAAGCTCAGTGATTTCACTTAAATGGCAATGATAATTACCTGTTAATTGTTATTTAAGTGAAATTACTGAACTTAAATATACAAGTTTGATAAAAATAATCATTAAAGAAGAAAATTTCAAATGGCACTTAGAGGCTTTTGCATCTGAACTCTTCATATATTTATTCAATGTTATACATACACATTATATTTCATATGCAACATTTTTGTGAACTTTTGTAATGATACATTTTAATTGGGATGCAGCAAAAGCCTTTATAAATGGTGCACTCATATTACTATGGATGGGAGAAAGTGCATTGGGCAATAAGGTAAAGCAAGTCCACCATCTAAATAAAAGAGCCAGTCATAAGTTTACTGCAGCTGCCTTCAGATGCAACTACAGTAGATACTCCAGTTGCAATTGTTCTGAGACTCATGCGCATTAGCTGGTCCAGTCAGAAATAGATTGTTTAATGCCATTTGAGCGTAAGAAACAACATTTTTATGACAGTTCATGTCAGATTTTAACGTCGTTTATTTAAATGTGCGTATTGCAAGCGTTTTTTGAGAACGCTTGCAATATTTTCTTGAAAGGGACTTTGGTGGTTTTTAACATGTTGCTATGTGGTTGCTTCGTGTCCCAAGCCCTCTTACTTCACCCAAAAATTACTATTCTGCCATAATTTACACACCTGAACTGTCTCTTTAAGTCTCTATGGTATTTTGGCAAAGGGACCTTCAATGTAAATCTATTTGATTATTTTTATCTGATTACTTGATTACTGAAACAGCACACCTCTCTCAACATTCCACGCGATTTGAACTATCAATCAAGCTGAGGCATGTCAGTATTACAACGTTTGGGCCAACACCTATTGTTCGTTAGGATATATCATTCGCGACCAGGTTTAACAGGTTTTGATAACCAACCAAACGCTATTTATAAAGAGTTATCAACCTGTTTTGAACAATATAATTACATAAGGGGGTTATTCAATCATCTAGTTTCTGGCATTTTTTTATTTTTTATTAACCCAATTATTTAACGAATCGTTGGATGGAATGACAGCAAATTCTGTCCAAACACCAAAACTCAAATATGATTATTCAATTAGACTTTGTTTGGAATTAGAATTGAAAGAGTGGGCCACTGCAATAGTGGAAACTGCATCATATGAATCAATGCTCAGTTAAAATAAATAGTGTTACGAGACTTTTGGGTGAGTTCTGGCTGTACATAATGATTTTGATCTTATACTTTTTCTGTATTTCATTTTTGTCACCCTCCCTTCCTCTTCTTTATACTTTACGTACAATGCAAAATACTGTGACTAGGAACTTGTAAGCTCATACTTTGTTGTATAACATGCCTGCAAGTAACCTTCCAAAAAAACAAAACCATAAAAGCATCAATAAAAAAAACTGTTAGGAGTTAAAACCTATTCTTTTTACCAATTCTGATTACCAAAATAAATTAAATGCAACATATGACAAGATATATTCATGAATAAGAATTTGAGTTTAAAGTACTTTCAATTGTTGCGTGCTGCACATAAAAAAACTTCATTTCCTTTTTTTATGTTTGGGATTAACTGTGTAATGTGATCCGCACTGCTAGAAAAATATTCACCTGTTCTTTCTGTTTCTGGAAAAGCCATTGAAAGTGTTGACTGGACAAGGAGGAGGTGGACAGCTGGGTGGCTTTAATACGATGTCATGCTTCCGGACTTGATCCGATTTACCGACGGATGGAATCTGGTTCTCCAATTGAATCCGTTGGCCGGGCGGACTGCTCGCACCCTTGTATTGGAATGTGCGCTGTGGTTTAGGTGGGGGGGAAGAAGGTCCCATTTCACCAAGACACTTAGTCACCATTGAGGAATCTTTCTCTCTCTCCCAGAAAGATTCATCTCCCTCCAGTTGTTTCCAGAAACCCCTGGAGGTGTAAAAGTTCCCTGGAGGCAGCAACGCCTCTGGATCATCTACACACTGAGGTAGAGATGCAATTTCAGCATCTGGGAAATGGTTTGACTTAAAATTACTGCTTTTAACATTCAGTTTCGTCACTTGGACTTGGGTTACAGTGCTTAAAGACTTAGTTGCAGGAGTTGATGTTACAAATTTATCCAAATGCGTGTGATTTCTTGGGAAATGTGACTTGATTTCACCTGTAACCGGTCTTAAAGTCGTGTGGTTTTCTCTGAAATCCAAACCCAGGCTTTTTGATACAGTCACTTTGTTACGACCTCCTTCATTGCAGTCAAGTCCATTTCCAAGAAGGTCCCCCGAAAGCCTACGAGACGCAAAAGTCCGCTGGGTCTGAACTTTTCCACTCCGGACGTCCTCCTGGTGGCTGAGTCCCTCCCATTGGGAGATTTTCTGCTTGATGTTGACGCCAGGCTCTCGCGAGAGTGTTGTTGTCGCAGTCTTCCCTCCTGGTCCTCCTGTGGTGACATTCTCCCCTCTTTTTCTATGGTCCACTCTAGGAGCCAGCATGACGACGAGGATGCCGTCACAATGCAGGGCCGTCTGGCATTGCAAGAGCAAGCCTATCAAGGAAGAACCACTTCCTTTGCGGTGCAAAAAAGTTAATAAAGTTCACAGAAGAACCTCTTTCCTGTAGGACAGCTATGTCTTCAGTTCCTCTGCCATTCTTCCTTCACTTAAGAGACTGCAAAGGGGAGAAAAAAAAACACAAGTGGGTTCAACTGACAAGCACATTTTGCAAACACAAAAGGTGAAGGTCTCTGCATGCTGCATAAATGCAGGAAACCAAAGATAGTCACTGTCAACGTCAGCAATGAAACCAAAAATAAAAACCCCAACAAAGAGGTGACTGACAACGACAGGAACATGGGAGAAGACAAAGCATTGTAGAGGCCTCTATCCCCAGGAACACCCACCACCCCCACTCCCACCCTCTCCAGCTGGGCCCGTCCAAAGCACTGCCATGCATTAACACACTTGAGCATAATGCAATTCAATTTCACTCCTCTCCAAAAGCTTCTTTCAGCCATGGCACGAAAAGGACAGGCATTCCAAGTATTTCCACATCCATGTGCACATAATAGAAGGGGCTTCTTTGTGGTATAAGAACGAGTGGTCAACACGTCAATGAGGAAAATATGCACAATTTCATGCAAGCTGGTGTCTATGCACCAAGTTGACAATAAAAAGAGGCCACTTGAAATTCCTCTTTCCTGCATCTACTGTAGCCGGGATGGATCTGGCAGCTTTAACACAAGCCCTCATCTGCGGCCAAAGTGTTTTGGACACGTTGCACATTACGCTGAGAGTGAGGACCTGCTGAAATTCCTTGGCACTGGGATTGAACGACATAATAATTTGGTATATCGACCACATTTGATCAGCAGGGCCCAAAAATTATGCCTTTTTTCTGGATGACCTACATCTAACGTACAAACTGGAATCTCTCCATGATTCGAGCCAGATCCCATCCCCCTTTAGAGGATCATCACATCTACTGACCCACTTGTGTCTGCAAGCGTGTGCAGGAAGGCCCGTGTTTCCTGATTCACAGGAAGATCGGATCAGCAGAATGTCCTTAACGATGGTTTTACAAATTTAATATGGTGTAGTATTTCCATGCTATTTTTTTTTTGTGACTCAAGAGGTCTGGTATGAAACATAACCCACCAATGTTCACAGACGCATAGTCTGAAATGGTGCAGATGGTCTGTGTAGGTTTAGACGGGCTAGATTAACAGTTAATTACAACTTGCGGAGTCTCCAATCATCCTGACTTAAAACTTCCCGACTGCATGTGATGGGGATCTTCTCATGACAATCCCAGCACCAAACCCACAACCTGAGAAGCAGAATAAATCCACTGTCTCTTGTTTTCCAAGCCACCTGCTTCCAGATATGGCACCGCACGCCAACGAAGCTCCGCATTTGGGGTTTGGTGATCAAAAGAGTCATCAACAACCGCAGACATACACAAAACACCCCTACAATGCCAACATCAACCAGACACTAGTATTACCCCAGCCCTCAAATGGTAGGCAATCAAGACGTAAATAAACTATAATATTACTTTTGACAGGTGATCCAACCACCCCAGGTGCATGTGCATGAGGGGACATGCTTCTGGGTGGGGTTGATTAAGCAAGCGAGTTCATTGGCAAAATTAAACATCGTCATGTCTATAAGACAAAGCATTCTGTCAAAAACTGCCCAACTCATTGAGTTATAGAAGTTAACAAATAATTAAACTATGGTGTCAATAGACATTTCACCTAAGCTAAAAGAGAAAAGCAGAAGATTTCGACTTTGTCCAACATGAATACATTAATTTTTGATTAGCATATATTTACGTGAAAGGTAGACTTCGGCATACATGTAAATAAAAGGTGTCTAGAAGAAGGCCTACATTTAAGTAATCAATTAAACAAAGGAAGAAAAAAAGAGTTTATTATTTAAAAAAATCAGGTACGAAAAGTATAAAATACTACAAGAATAAAATAAATGTAAAAAAAATACATGAATGAAAGTTTAAAATTAAATAAATTAAATTAAAACAATAAATAGTTTTTAAAATTTTTTATTAAATTTAATATAATTAAACAAATAAGTTAGCCTAAATAAAATTCAGCGACCCAGAGCTCTTTCTTGTCAGCCAGTTCAGATCTTTTGTTATGAAGAAACATTAACTTACTTACGCAAACTTGTCCGCGCAACACATATGTTCGACTGAGAAATAAATAATCGAAAGAAAGTTCTCATGAGAGCTCATTTCGAGTAAATACTGAGTCTGTAACTCTGTTGTGGAGCCGAAGTCTTCATATTTCACGGCTGGTACGTTAGCCAGTCGGCTAAAAACTTCCTCGAGAAAAACTTTGTATCCATTCACTTTCACCGCGAGTAAACAACGGGTCACAACGTTTTTGTAATTCCTGGCAAAGGTGTAATGCCTGGTGTTGTTTATATTCCAGATAGAAACTGTTATCGGAGTTCCTTAAAGAGTGGATGGACGTGTTCGAGTAATCCAGCTCCTCCTGTGCTGTCAGTTCCCCATCTGAGCTTCGGTTCCTCTGAGTTGATGAATCAGCTCACGAACTAGTGCTGCAATAAAAGTGTCTTCATTAAATGACCAATGTGCCTTCCTGTTTACTAACGTTACAAGCGACTCGATCGGAAATCATACTTTGTTTGATTCTATTGTTGTAACTTCTTAGTAACTTGAGGGACAAATATTTTACAAACACAAGTGCTGTGTGTGTGTTAAAATGCATTGGCAACATTTTTTTCGCGAACAGTTTTGCAATGAAGGATTGAACAATTGATTATTATGAATTATGCATAAGGAGAGAAAATATGACATTGTATTTTAATACATTGTGTGATTTTAAATAATAATAATTTAATTAATAATATTACGGACTAATTAGGCTATAATATAGCTCATTAAATTTCATAATACACATTATGAAGGCACGCTAAAACAACAACATTTAAATTAATTTCAAAAATCTTTCCATACAGAGAAGGTCTCAAACTGTCCCCCGAACACCAAAATGCTGTTCCTGTTCCTATTGTGCACTAATGATGGCTTGCAAATGGCAAATTTGGCACTTGCTATTATGTCAGGTTCCTATGTCCAAATGACATTTGAGAGCTACAGAGGGGGAGGAGAAGGTGAATTGTTGCTTTTGTATGACATGAGAAGACTCTGAATACAGTACACGGGTATTGCTTTTATAGAAGTTGGTGGTTTTGATGGTTTTTTTAGGCTTGGTAGTCTTTGGTCTCAATGTATTGAAAATGGGCCATGCATGACCATCTGTATAACATTTTTTGTGTGTTCCAGTGAAAAAAGTTAACCAGGTGTGTAACAACATAAAGTTAAGTAAATAATGGCAAATTTGTCAATTTTGTGTTAACTATAAGAACAAAAATCGAAACAGTAAATATTTTAAATATAGATTTTCTTTATTGAGTCAACTGTATGTAACAGGCTTTTTTTCCAAAGCATGACCACTTAAAACATATTAAGGATACAATAAACAATAAGGATAAAGATAGAATAAGACACAAAGGGGATGTAAACTTAGTAAACTGCAAACTGTAAACAGCAGTAAGACCTTAAGATCAGACATAGCCAACAAACACCTGTGTACAAGAAGACTCGGATATGGAGTGTTATTTCTCATTAAGATATAAGCTCTGTCTCATGGGCATTATCTCATGGGCTTCACAATAATATTAGCCGAAATGTTGTTGTCAGTGACACTTTGCATATGTGCATGTTTTTTTAGTCAGTCAACACGCCCTCTTTAATTAGGTTCAGCTCATAGCACTGGGTCTCGTAGCGGTAGGCCATGCGAATCTGAGCCACGTTGGTTTTGCGGATGTCGTTGCTTTCTGGACCATCCTTCAAGTAGTTGGCACCAAGGAAGTGAGTCTTTTCCTGTTTGTGTGAGAAAAAGTTTATGTTGCACTGTGATTATCAAAACTGTATCAAATTTCAACAAAAACATTGCTTAACCCTGGTGGTGACCTCTACAGATGTGTAATACAGTATATGTTATATTTGAGTGAATAAATTGAATTATTAATTCCATATTACTAGATATAGAATCGTTGTTTTGAAGTTTTAAGAAATCAGTGTTGTTACTGTTAAAGGGGTCCTATTATGCCCTTTCATGTTTGTTTTCATGCTTGATTGTTAAAAAAAAAAACATTATTTCTGATAATAATGCTCCCAATCTGGCCAAACACACCAATTTCGATGAAGTCCTTCCTTCCGAAATACAAAATGTGCTGTGATTTGTTAGCTGGCCCAGTGTGTTGTGATTGGCAGACTTAGCCCACGTAACGTTGTGAAATTTTCGTTTTAATTCTCCGTTTTTAAACAAAAACACAGTAGTGTGGACTGGCCTAAGTTCGTCAGTCTCAGGAAGGTCAAACAAATGAGTTCTGGAAATGCTGTGGAAAAAAGGGGTCTTTTTGATATAGCAGTAACACAGCCTTCCCTAATGCAGGTCACAGACCTCCTCCCCTTTTTATGCGTATTCCGTGGACGGTGATTATTTAAATGAGGAGCATTGTGATTTCATAAGATCAGGAAAAATCGTTTTGTAGTCCAAACGAGATGACCTCACCTCATTAGACAGGCTGCTCTGGAGGACACTGTTCCTGGAAATCTCGCACATGTCACAGGTGCTGAGCTTGAACACCTGGGCTGCAATGGCATACTCCTCCATCAGGGGCTCCTAGTGATGCAGGAATTTGGATAAATTCAATGATCAAATGAAAAGAAACAGAGGGAGAAGATCTGCAGTTTGCACATATGGAAAAGGGTGAAGCCTCACACCTTGGTGTAGTGGAACTGCATGGGGTCGTCAGTGGACAGGGACACCATCAGTCCCTTCTGGTGGAACTCCAGCAGAGGGTTCTTGTTGTACTCCAGGAACAGACTGTTGTTACTGAGAGGAGACATAGCAATGGGAACCTGGGCCAGGTAATACAGGTACTGCAGGACAGGGCTCTGAGGAACATGAGGAGACAGTGACTGTTGTGATTCTTTCGAAGACCGAGAGAAAGCATGAGGATGAAATGAAGTGGTAAGATGAAGGATGCCCCCTAATGGTCAGGGTAAATGTTGTATTAACCTTCTTGAGGTTGAGGCCGTGAGAGATGTTGTCTGCAGTCATGAAGCAGGCCAGCAGGTGAGTGACAGCTCCAGCCTCTCCACAGTGAGGTCTGAACTGGAATGTGTTCATTCCTCTTTCCCTGGATGCCACAAAAAAAAAAAAAACAAGATACAGTTACTCTGGGCTCTATTACACACCTTTAATTTAATAGAAATTCAAGCTTTTATTCAGCAACCATGCATTAAAATAGTCAAATGTGACTGTAAGGACACAAATTGTATTTCAGGTAAATGCTGTTCTTTTTTTAACTTTCCATTCGTCAAAGAGTCCTGTTTGTTTCCACAAAAATTTTAAGCAGCATAATAATTTTTAGCTCAATTCTTTTAAAGCTTCATGCAATACAAATTGTATGAACAAACAGCTTAACAGCTTAAAATAAGGAGTAGTTCACTTTAAAAAAAGCTTTTGCTGATAATTTACTCACCCCCATGTCATCCAAGATGTCCACGTCTTTCTTTCTTCAGTCGAAAAGAAATTAAGGTTTTTGATGAAAACCTTTCAGGATTTTTCTCCATATAATGGACTTCAGTGGGAACCAAACGGTTCAAGGTCCAAAAGACAGTTTCAGTGCAAACTGCAAACTGTTCAAAGGGCTTTAAACGATTCCAGACGATGAATAAGGGTTTTATCAAGCGAAACGTTCGCTCATTTAAAAAAAAATAACAAAGTTTAAGTTTTATTAGCTCAAATGCTCGCCTTGCTCTGTTCTATAATGCGCGTTCGTGACTCTCTTGTTCGAATCTTGAACGAATCTTTTTTCGTGTCATTTGGTTCATTCAACGAACGAAATGAACGAATTGACTCGGGAAAAATCCTGGAATGTTTTCATCAAAAACCTTAATTTCTTTTCAACTGACAAGGACATCTTGGATGACATGGGGGTGAGTAAATTACTGTATAAGTTTTTTTTAAAGTGAACAACTCCTTTGAGTGTCCAAAATTAAAAAATTAATAGCACTCTTCTTCTTGCAAGTTGTACAACTATAGCCAGAAAAAGTATTATTCAAACAGTGTGGAATGTATTATAGACCTAATTCAAATCAGCGGCATGACAGGCATAAAAGTGAGGCTGTGAGGGATAGACTTGCTGTTTTTTTAATAGCATCTGCTGTAAAAAGCTGTATAAAGCTCCTAGGTCACTTAGACTTTTCCACAGCTCATATTTTATTTCATATTTATACACACAGCCTATAACGTAGCTACAGCATGAGTTCAACGTAGAAGTATAAATTGGGCTTTACAGCCTCGCTTTTATTCCCAAAGATATCGCAGCTGTGAATAAAGTCTATGCACCAAAGTTTAATTGTTCAGGGTCAGGGACTGAAACAAACCCCTTACTTCAATTATAAGCAATCATAATAGTATCAAGCACAACTCACGACTCACTGGTGAGATACTCACTTGCGCAGATGGTTGAGTCGGGCGATGTTTGCATACATGTAGTAAATCCAGTAAGTGTATGAGGGGCTCTTCACAATGTCCCACTCCTCAGGTTTGGGGCTCTTTGTGGAGAACATGTGACCGCTGTGTTTGGATTCATCATCCACACTGTCAAAGCCTGTCACCTGCAGAGGGACAAAACACAGGGATGGAGGGGTTCAAGGGATAGTCCACCCAAAAATGAAAATTCTGTCATCATTTACGCACCCTCAAGTTGTTGCAAACCTGTATGAGTTTCTTTCTTCTGCTGAACACAAAGGAAGATATGTTGAAGAACGACTGGAACCAAACAGTTGTTTGGCACCATTGACTTCCATAGTAAAAAAAAAAAATGGAAGTCAATGGTGCCAAAGCACCAATCGTTCTTCAAAATATCTTCCTTTGTGTTCAGCAGAAGAAAGAAACTCATACAGGTTTGCAACAACTTGAGGGCGAGTAAATGATGACGGAATTTTCATTTTTGGGTGGAGTGTCCATTTATCAGACTAAAGTAATATTGTGAAATATTATTACAATTTAAAATGATTGATCTGTTTTTATAGTATTTTAAAATGTAATTTATTCCAGTGATGGCAAAGTTAAATATCAGTCTTCAGTGTCACATGATCCTTCCGAAAGGATTTCATTTGCAGACGTGGGTAGAGTAACCAAAATCTTATGGAAATAATCACTCAAGTAGAAGTAAAATGAATAATGTTATTACTTACCTGAGTAAGTGTAAACAAGTATTCAATTGAAAGACTACAAATCTATAGTTACTTCGGATCTGATTCGGACAAGGATGATTTAATATTACAATTTGCTTCTCAAGAAACATTTATTATTATTATCAAAGTTGTGTTGCTTAATGTGGAAACCATGATACAATTAAAAAAAAACTGAACATTATTTGATTTTGTATGTATTTTTCCCTTTGGATCAATTCAATCCGTCCTTGCTGAATTAAGTATGACTGATCTCAAACTTTTGAACACTATACTGTATTTATCAGAACTTGTCTCTTTGCATATGTCAGTGTTGTGGTACTCGAGACTCGGACTCGTCTCGGACTCGGTCTCGAGACCATATTTTAATGGTCTTGGTCTTGTCATGGACTCGTGTCAATTTGAACTCGGAATTGACTCGTACTCGAACATTTTTTTTTAGGACTCTTTTTAGGAATTATTCCAGAGTCCACTCGAGTTCAATTAAAAATATTTTTCATGATTATTAATGTATGTTAATAAAATATTTCTTTAAATTGATTGACACGCCCAGTGATTGGGGATTTTCTAGTGCTCAACTGCGCATGACAAATTGTAATAAAATTACTTTTAACATCACCTACTATGTGGCCTTTTTACCCTAAACTGATCATATTTTTTAAACTCTAAATAAATTCAGTAAAAAAAAAAAAGGATTTCTCTTAGTAAATAAAAGTAAATTAGGTAATCAACCCTCACTGGTCTCGGTCTCGACTCGGACTCAACCGTCTCTGGTCTCGGACTCGACTCTCTATGGACTCGGTCTTGACTCCGACTCGACTCTCTCTGGTCTCGGTGTCGACTCGGACTCGAGTGAGGTGGTCTCGACTACAACACTGGCATATGTATTCACTAATATTATATTTGCCAGATTCACTCACATGCTTCAAGAAGACACTAAGCTCTGGGTTGGAGTTAGGGTCAATGGTGGCCTGGAAAACAGGTAGGAAGATGTTTTCCAGCATCTTTCCAAAGTGTGGCACAAAGTTCTTGGCTCTGAAAATGTCACTAGGGAGAAATACAAGATATACTGTGAGTACAGTTTTCACAAAGAGACTAAGTGCGAGAAGTGAAACAGATTCACGTACTAGATTCTGGGCACTTGAATCATCCACTTTAGGTGAGGAGAAAACACCCTGTGCTTGTTGAACCAGCCGGCAAGCTTAGCCCACTCATTGGGATTACAGCCATAGATGGACAGACGGGGCTCTGCGTACTGGTATCTGGCATCCTCCAGGTCACTGGCAACTTCCTGTGAGATTTCAGAGATTATGGCTGATTGGATTGGTTTCCCGTAAGTGCAAATGTCACGAGTAATGCCATGGTTCACCCAAGTCTTACCTTGATAATGGTGGCAAAATACTCTCCAGAGATGTGGTTCTCAGTCTTCATATAAAGATCACGCAGCTCACTGGCACCCACAGGGTTGTACTTAGCATTGAATTTATCAAAACGCTGGAAGGTTTGTCTGCCCTGCATGAAGTCGAGCAAGGAATAACTGTAAATAACTTTGCAGTCATCACAAAAAACAGTTTTCGTAGGCAGTTAGGAGTGCTAGGAATACTATCATAACAGCTGAGTATACACCGGGTAGATTTGAAACCCATGTTGTGGTCTAAAAATACCGGACATGACAGCTGCATAATAAGTGCTGTAAGGATACTTTGACATATTGTTTTTTAGTCCTGAACATCTGTGGTGATTAAATTCTCTATACATATTCTTCCCAAGTTTGGGTACGGAAGGATTGTATGATGTGTTGTGATACCTACAGCATGCACATCCAGGGAATCTACAGTCAGGTCATAGGGATGCAGCTTAAGAGATTCAAAAAGCTCCTTCATGGTCACTTCCTTGCCCTTCAAAACATGCACCACCCGATCTGCATCCACACGGTACGACTTCTTGATGAAGCGGAGGAGGTGCTTCTGGTTCATGCAGGCGGCAGCGTGGATATGAGTATCAACCTACATCAGCGAGAACAGGACAACAACATAACTGTAAAAACATTGCTGTTGTTTTTTAAAGGAGAAGTTCACTTTTTAAAAAACTTTTGCTGATAATTTACTCACGCCCATGTCATCCAAGATGTCCATGTCTTTCTTTTATCAGTCGAAAAGAAATTAAGGTTTTTGATGAAAACATTCCAGGATTTTTCTCCATATAATGGACTTCAATGGGAACCAAACGGTTCAAGGTCCAAAAGACAATTTCAGTGCAAACTGCAAACTGTTCAAAGGGCTTTAAACAATTCCAGACAACGAATAAGGGTCATTTAATAAAAAGATAACAAAGTTTAAGTTTTATAAGCTCAAATGCTCATCTTGCTCTGTTCTGTGACGCACGTTTGTGACTCTCCTGTTCGAACTCGTTCATCAAAATGAACGAATCTTTTTTCGAGTCATTTGGTTCATTCAATGAATGAAATGAACGAATTGACTTGGAAAAAGATTAGACCTTAAAAAGGATCTTGGAAAAAGACCTTATTCATCGTCTGGAATCATTTAAAGCCCTTTGAACAGTTTACACTGAAAGTGTCTTTTGGACCTTGAACCGTTTGGTTAACACTGAAGTCCATTATATGGAGAAAAATCCTGGAATGTTTTCATCAAAAATCTTAATTTCTTTTCGACTGAAGAAAGAAAGACATGGACATCTTGAATGACAAGGGGGTAAGTAAATTATCAGCAAAAGTTTTTTTTAAAGTGAACTACTCCTTTAAGTTTAAATGACATTTGGCTGTTTTGAGTCATACCTTCCTACAGTTGTAAAAGTCTCTGTGGGGATTGTTCTTCAGCTCTTTCATTTCCTCCATCTCGTTTAACATCTCATGTACATTGAATTTTGACATGAGGAACTTTAGACGACGATGAGTGTATGTCTTTCTGAGGGACAAAACACAAGCATCCATTTAGAAAAAAAAACATCATTCTTCAATTTAAGGAAATTTGTATTTTTAATAAGCTGGCATGCATTCAATTTATCAAAAGTTACAATAAAGACTTTTACATTGCTACAAAAGAAATCTATTTCAAATGAATGCTGTTATGATGAAGTTTCATCAAGGAAACCTAAAAAAAAAAAAAAAGAAGTAAACCAGTTTCCTGAAAATTATTAAGCAGCACAACTGTTTTCAGTTGTAAAGTTTCGATAAAATTAGAATGATTTCTGAAGGATCATGACACTGAAAATTCAATGTTCAATAAATTGCTTTTTACAATAAATTAAAATAGTTATATTAAATAATAACTTATTACTGTTTTTACTGTAATTTTGATCAAATAAATCCAGCCTTGGTGAGCATGAGACTTCAAAGTCTTACTGAGTATATCATAAACACGTAGAAATATGTAAAACTGACTTCAACTGACATTTCATCAAATTAAATTCTTTGTGTTTTTTTCCCAATCATGAAATGGAAAATGAGAGAATACAGACAACTCGAGGTAATTTATTAAGCATCATGCAGGGCTTTCGTGCACGCACGTTGGGCCCTGAGAGATCAAGGTGATGAGGAAGTTCATGTCATCGATGAAAGTGGCAAGTTCTGGACCGGCGTAGTTCAGAGGCTGGTGTTTATCAGCAGATGCTGCGTCTTTGTAGATAAAGATAACACCATCCTTCATGCGAGCAACGTAGCCAAGGTTAGGTGGGAAGTCCTTAGTGCAGAAAGGATCCTCGCCAGCCTTGGGAGGAGAGGTAAAGACTGCAACACAACAGAGACTGTTATCATTATATTATGTTAGTTTCCGAGGATTAAAGTAATCAGTTAATTCCTTGAATTTCCTAGGAAATTTATTTATTTTTATCTTTAGTAGATAAAAAAATGACCCTTATCAACCTTGATTGACACGGCAATAAAATTTCATTATTTTGACAGTAAATGTTTTGGGTGTGTTTTTCTTGGACTGGGCGGGTTTCGCTGAGCGTTTCGGCTGGAAATCATCGACACAATCTGGCAACACTGTTCAGATCTATCTATCTAATCTTTCTTTCTAACTAATCTTTCTTTCTTTCCAACTAATCTTTCTTTCATACTAATCTATCTATCTATTCTTTCTAGCTAATCTTTCTTTCAAACTAATCTTTCTTTCTTTCTTTCTAACAATTCGCTCTTTTCTATTTTCTTTCTTTTTTCTAACTAATCTTTCATTTTCTAACTAATCTTTCGAACTAATATTTCTATCGTTCTTTGTTCCTTTCTAACTAATATGACTTTCGTTCTTTGTTCCTTTCTAACTAATCTTTCTTTCTAACTATTCTTTCTTTCTATTATTTTTATCATGGTATTCTAGCATACAGTGATTACCTGGAAACACCTGATCTTCTGGTTTCCACTGCTCTCCTTCAATTTTGCATAAGAACTGAGATGGAGTTGGGGGGAATCTCTGGAAAGCTAGCTTCATGTACTTCTCTCTGATGGTCAGGGCACGGTATAGACCCTTACAGGACACCTCAAAGTCATCCATGGTGACCTGTAGTACAGTTTGAATTGTGTGAAATCCCAAGTGCTTGCCCTGATTGTTAAGTTTGAAATCCAAATATTTTTAATATAATATGAAATAGTGATAAGGTACCATACAGTCAAATGTATTATGAACAGTCATAGAAAGCGTTACAGTGAGTGAAACTATATTTAAAAGTGATCATGTCCTTGATGTCAATGACCAGTGATCATCATGTCAGGGCAATTAAGTTTGTTCTTAGAAAAGAGTAGGGAAGAACTGATGACTGCAGATGAAAAATAATTCCTTAACTCTCTCCTAAATGTCAGATATATTCATTTCAGAAACCAAATCCAGAGCTGGGCTCCACCTGCTTAGATAGAGTGACCCCTTGGCTGATCTATTTTTGCCGGTTTGGTCTTAGTCTGGTAAAGGGCAATACTGTGTGTAAATCAAAACTTACATAACATGGGAATATCCCAGTCAGTTCCTAGAAGTATCAGGAAGTTATAAATTGAAACGTACCCCAGCAGCATAGTCACCAGTGATGGACACTCTCTGAAAATCAGGCACTTCCAAGTAGGTTGGTTGATCTAGCTCGTGAGAACGGCTGAGAAGCTTCTTACTGTGTGGAGATTGGTTAAAGATGAGGTCGGTTAGTTTAGAGTCAACTTGGTATTAAATCACGACTTTCATGTGCAAAAGGTTAAGGACTGACCCACCAAAGAAAGCCAAAACAATGATTTTTGCAGGGTATAGCCAACTACAAGAAAAACTGACTGGTTAAATATATAATATACTAAAAGAAGTTCCTATACAATTAACGTTTCCATAGCGTTTACCAAGATTATAATTATGATTATAATTGTGTAACTGCACTGACCGCTTCTCTATGTCATCATCCTCGGCTATGTGATAGGCCAGCTCCTGGTTGAGAATAGGGCAATCCTCAGCCACATCAAACAGGGAGATCTCCTCACGGACGTCTTCATCTTTGGTTACCGATGCAAAAACACGCTCTGCGATCGCGCGCATATTATCATCCGTTTCTGGCAAAAAAGAAGAAGCAGCACCACATTGGTTTTAATGTCACATAATTATTTAAGGAGACGGCGGTCTACCATAAAAAAATAAAAATAAAGAGAGAGAGATCGACAGACTAAAAAGCCCTAAAGCGGTAAAGATGCATCAAGTGAGATGTGTCAGTCCTTGACATAACTTAAAGGGGTCATATAATGGTACATGCACTTTTACAAGTAGATTGTACTGAAATGTGTGTTGTTTATATTATAAGTTACATTGTAGAATTATATGTTTGTTTATAATTCTTAAAATTAATATATAGAATTATATAGATCAGTGATGGGAACTCCTCCCCATCTTCACTTCTGCTGAAATCTTATAGGCTAACGCCAGCCGGGCTGGCCAATTGACGTAAAGTATGCAAATACTGAAACAGTAATAATGCAGATTTACGATCAACGTCAATGCGTTCATGTTTGCGCGAATCATTTTTCACCAGACTGCTTTATAAATGAGGGTTAGTATAGGCCTAAAGCTGGTTTTGCTAAGAATCTGCTCCTTTCATTTAGACCCTAAACATTTTATTAAAGTGTACAAAAATGGCATTATATGACCCCTTTATGTATAAAAATAATGATTAGCCTATATGTGACCCTGGACCAAAAAACCAGTCACATGGGTAAATTGCTGAGATTCAGCTATTTGAAGACCTAAAAAATCAAGACATCGAAGCCTTTAAATTTGTCCATTTATGTTCACAATTGTGCTGCATTCACTCACTAAAACATGTTTTAATAAAATATACAAAATATCTTCATTGAACATGATCTTTACTTAATATTCTAATGATTTTTGGCATAAACGAAAAAATCAATAATTTTGACCAAGACACAGTATTGTTAGCTATTGCTACAAATATAACCATGTTACTGGTTTTGTGATCCAGGGTCACATATGGTAAAAGCCATGAAGGCACAATAAGTGAACAACCAACTTTTTATATAATTGCATCTGACTGGTTGTCCTTTAGATATTTTTAACTATAAGAATATCAACTTTTGTTGAACTTTTAAAACCAGAGCATGCTTTTGGCACAAGGTCGAGGACATTTTTTTCAGAAGGATTCAACTACTGAGTCATTGTGATCACTAGCAGTGAATTAGCAAAATCTCCCATGCAGAGATAATCAAAACTAGCATGACAAATTCATTGAGCCAATACACAATTCAGCAGAACCCATAACATCATAACTTAGAAATGTCTAATTGAAAACAGACAAGAAAATGAGGCCAACATCCTAAAAGTTTTTAAGAATCACATTAAACGTGCACAGAAATCATCAGTCTAAGCCAGAAATACACAATTTAGTCATTTGTTTGCTTATGAAGTACAATGAGGTGCAAGTTTTTTTCAGCTGAATACAGATTTTAATTACAAATTATATTTTAATTAGAAAAATGGTATAAATGCATTTTTGCTCTTACATTCGAGCAAGAAAATCTTTCAGTCTGCACAAAAGTTAACATCAGTGACTCAAATTTAAATATTTCTTATTTGTTTTACATTATAGCGTTATGCTTTAAATATTACTAAAACAAAACAGGGTTACCCTTTATTTGTGCAATAATACTTTTAAGTAATGAATAACAATAACTACATGTAGTTAATATAGAGTTTGGGTTAGTTGCATATACCAGCCTTTCTCAAAGTGGGTGCCGCGGCACACTGGGGTGCCCCCTAGCTGTGTCAGGGGTGCCGCCAAAAAATTACGTAGGCTAAAAAAAATTTGAAAAAAAAAAACAGAAAAAAAAACAGCTGACATTTCATATATAAATATATTTGAATTTACATATTTACATTCTTCTTTTTAAACATATGAACATATTAATAAAATTGTAAATTCATTTTAGATAAATATATAAAATTAATCATAAAAAAAAATCCGTCTCACAAGACCGAAGCAAAACACACACAACTTGACGCAAGTGACGCAATCCATAGCAACGCGTTATAGCAACACCTCAGACTGACAGAAACGTAAAAATAAACGTGATTTTAGGCCACTTTAGTTACAGCATTATGGATCGTTTTTTGAAAAGAAAATCCCCACAAGAGCCGGGGATTTTTATTTTATTTTATCTGCATCCTGCACTTCATTTGAGTTCTCCTGGTCTGGATTTGTTATTGGGTTCTTGTATTGGGCGGTCCACCTCTTACGGTTTTATGGCATTTGTGTCTCTGATTAATTATTTTGTGAATTACTTTACAAACCTGTGTTTTTAAAGGTGCTATAAAGTTTTTATTATTATTGTTATTTACAGTTCATATTATGCTCTGTTCATTACTGTTCTGTCTAACTAAACAAGACATTTGCATTTAAATTTGGGTTATGCAGTGTTTTTAAATTATATTTTACACTGGGGTGCCTTGAGATTTTATGCACTTTTGAAAGGTGCCCTGACTGAAAAAAGTTTGAGAAAGGCTGGCATATACAATGCAAAGCTACATGTAGCTTGTAACAAGGACTCTATAAAACAAAGTGTTACCCAAAATAGATTTAAATTAAATTATGAAAGCCAGATTTTCAATATAGTCTCAGACTTTTGGACCCCAATGTACATTTTCACCTTAACAAACAAGTGAATAAAATATACAGATAGCTGTTTTGCCATTGTTTTCTTGCAGTTTTAACATGTCGATCTTGGACGGGTTCTTTTATACTTACTCCCTGCTGATTATTCATTCCCCCAGAGTGGGTGAGAAAGATTAAAAAATGGAAAGAAAAAGGAGGTTATAGGTTAGACTGAGTAAGAAACACATTGGAACTGTCATTTTATTCACATTTGAGGGATCACACATGCCACCTGTAATAACAAACAATTCAGTATTAAATACAATCCCTCTGCAGGCAATCACATTTTACAATAAACTAACAATGTCAACATGAACCTTTGTATATAGGCTATAAATCGCAGTGACTGATGGGGTAAAGTGAAAAGTACAAAAAAAAAAAAAAACATCAAGTCAAATCAGTAGAGAAAATCATTGTCATGTCACTATGAGTTTTTTCACAATCCCAAGATTGCACACCTTCAAAAGAACTCAAACAAGGCTTGACATTTCACAAACAGTGTCACACTATCTGTTCTCCTCACAGAGGCAGACTTTTATTTGTTATTGTTCACTTTCCATGATTATACTTTCTTAAAACTGGTTTGATTCAAATTACAATTTCAATACCTGTTTTATCACATATTTAATAACTAAAGCTCAGTTAGAGGCCCTCAGAGCTCAGTGAGTACATAAGATCCAGGGGGCGGAGTTGGATCCAGATCTAAGGGGTGGAGATGGGTAGGATTAGGGGTGAGGTTAGGGATCAGGGGTGGAGATGGGTAGGATTAGGGGTGGGGTTAGGGATCAGGAGGCGGAGATTGGTAGGATTAGGGATCGGGGCGGAGATGAGTAGGATTAGGGTTGGGGTTAGGGATCAAGATGTGGAGATGGGTAGGATTAGGGGTGAGGTTCGGGATCAGGAGGCGGAGATTGGTAGGATTAGGGATCAGGGGTGGAGATGGGTAGGATTAGGGGTGGGGTTAGGATCAAGAGGCGGAGATGGGTAGGATTAGGGGTGGGGTTAGGATCAGGAGGCGGAGATGGGTAGGATTCGGGATCAGGGGTGGAGATGGATAGGATTGGGGTGGGGTTAGGGATCAGGAGGCGGAGATGGGTAGGATTAGGGATCAAGGGGGTGGAGATAGGTAGGATTAGGGATCGGGGCGGAGATGAGTAGGATTAGGGGTGGGGTTAGGGATCAAGAGGCGGAGATGGGTAGGATTAGGGGTGGGTTAGGATCAGGAGGCGGAGATGGGTAGGATTCGGGATCAGGGGTGGAGATGGGTAGGATTGGGGTGGGGTTAGGGATCAGGAGGCGGAGATGGGTAGGATTAGGGGTGGGGTTAGGGATCAGGGGGTGGAGATGGGTAGGATTAGGGGTGGGGTTAGGGATCAGGAGGCAGAGCTGGGTAGGATTAGGGGTGGGGTTAGGGATCAAGGGGTGGAGATAGGTAGGATTAGGGGTGGGGTTAAGGATCAAGATGTGGAGATGGGTAGGATTAGGGGTGAGGTTCGGGATCAGGAGGCGGAGATTGGTAGGATTAGGGATCAGGGGTGGAGATGGGTAGGATTAGGGGTGGGGTTAGGATCAGGAGGCGGAGATTGGTAGGATTAGGGATCAGGGGTGGAGATGAGTAGGCTTGGGGTGGGATTAGGGATCAGGAGGCGGAGATGGGTATGATTAGGGGAGGGGTTAGGGATCAGGGGGTGAAGATGGGTTGGATTAGGGGTGGGGTTAGGGATCAGGAGGCAGAGCTGAGTAGGATTAGGGATCAAGAGGCGGAGATTGGAAGGATTAGGGGTGGGTTAGGGATCAGGGGGTGTAGATGGGTAGGATTAGGGGTGAGGTTAGGGATCAGGAAGCGACAGCCAATGTCAATGTCATGGATTGTGAACACTAAACAAATAAACAACTTATTAAATAATATTCAACATCCCTTAATTCAGATTCCTGCACTAAAACTTTCTTTAAATAAAAGAAAAACATGCCTTGTATCCACCTGGAGTTTCATGGCAAATCCCTTGGTTTTGAGATTCCCATATCAACCATGTCATGCTTACCCCTCTTTCCAAACACACAAACAATCATCCGCCTATGATTCCTTCCAATACTTACGCTTCTCCTCCGCTGGGTTAGTAACATGTACCCATCAGATATAGGACAGGATCCATGTGAGAGGCAAACAAGAGTTACGGTCACTCACAAGGACAATAACACACATTGACCACAACAGAAACAGTAGCTCTCATCACATGAACAGGATTGTATTCTGAATTATTTGAATACGTCACTGAACTGAACAGCAAAAAGTTTCAGGAACACCCCCATCCGCCATTGGCCGGGCAAACGGATAGTCCTGCCAAAACTAACACCATCAACTAAAAATGACTTTCTCCTGTCCAGCTATGAAGTGACATAAGTATTTTAATATCAGATTCAGAAACAATGTTTAACAGAGTATTAGACTCTGGTCTTTTACTTGGGTGTGAACTCATTAACTGAGTGTTAAAAAAGTACAGCAAGTTCAAGGCCTTCCCTGCTGCCTTGAAATTATAGTGTCTATTTTTAAACTTGGTGATATCAGTGACTGATATCTAATAACAGTCTGCAACTTCAAATCCAGATTAATCTTAGCCTGCACATGGAAAGCAGCATGTCTAGAAATGAATGTAGTTCCCAAATCAGCCCAATATCTTACCGAGAAGAAAATAATCAATACCATCCCACAATATCAGTGCACATACGCTTGTGGTTATAAGCTTATATTCACCTTGCAGAATATGTTTTTAAGGTAATAATAGTAACAAAATAAAGTGACTTAAATTATTAACATTTTGCAGATTCTGCCAGGTGTATGAAAATACACGAGCACAACTGAACTCGACCCAGTGGACAAACATGATGTAAAAATAACTTTCAGGTGAGTGATGGCAAGTCAAGCCTAAGCATGACATTTGAGCAACTAGAATCTGCTGACTAGCAAAGGGTTATCCCGTCTAACTAATAAGTCATACTGTCATTTAAAAGTGTTTGCAAGCTCATTAATGGAGTCAGATTTTTTACAGCATTTTTTTGTTAAATCAGCCTGAACTCTTGCATGCATACATAAGACAGCCTATCTAACATCATTTTCAAGAGTGCATATCGATTGCACTTCAGTATTTATATATAAACGTGTGGATAAATCCATCACAAGTGTTAATGAGGCAGTAGCAAACACCAACACCTCTATTTTCATTCTGCTTCCATTTATTAAAATGTCAGGGGTGTTGACACAGTTGAAGAATGCAATGCCTGACAGTTGCTCTAGTGTTTGAATTAAAGTCCCCAATATACTCTCATATACCACCACTTCCTGATACGACAACAAATGCAGTTATTTTTGCCTACTAAGAAGTGAACTTCTAACGTTTAACTATTCGGACACTCCCATTCCTGGATTACAGTTTCCACAAGAGACCACGTTGGTGTCTAGAACTTCTGCAACATGATTAACTTTGCATAGACATCTATTAAGCTCATTTTAAACTCATTAAATTTCATAGATGAATGCGATGTTAAAACCAAATATTCTCTTTGCGTGTTGGATTCAGGTGGTGAATGGACACTCACCGGGCACAGCGACTTTGGGCATGATGGCTTTTGGTTTCTGACACTATCACTCTTCCTGCAGAAAGCTGGTCGGTCCGACACTGATCCTCGGTAGCGGGGAAGTGTGCAGTTGGACACAGCAACAGTGCAATATTAAGCAGTGGTTGCCCAGTGTAACCAGAGCCGTGTACGCGCACTGGATACGAGGGGCTTGGCGGTCCAGGTTCTGTGTTCAACTCTATTTTAAGTTTTAACAGACAGACAGATTCAAGTGACAAGTTCACACATGGAAAAGAGGATACACACACACACACACACAAACATCCATGCACATGCAGGAGAATTACACACAATATGCTCAGTTTCCAATTAATTTACTGGTAATATGGTAGGCACATTAAACCTCTGTTACACATGAAATGTTCATTTTCACATGATTTTCTGATTAAGAAAAGTCTGTGATACTAATAAATTGTGCTAAAACGGCAAAATACATCATAAATCAAGTCTTGACATAGCTGGAAAAGAAAGGATTGTTAACGTAAAGGCATTTTTTTTTATAAAACATCCTGCCTCTGAGGACAGAAGGCCAAACGCGAAGGCAGTACGAAAACCGCAGATTTCACCCTTGATGAAATCAGGCACAGATTCAGACAAATGCCATATAAATAACATGATAGTCAACACGAAGGATCTCGATAAGCCTTCATTGGCTCTCAAGAAGAGACTTCAGGCATGAAAAATAAACCTTACTCTGATCTCATACAATCCCAACAAGAAAAACCAAAACATTTGTACAGCTTTCACTGGAAGGTTTAAGACATTATTTAACATGGGCTGAAAGATGTCATGGTATATAGGACACAGAAGGAGGCACATATATTTGGCGTGTACACCAGCAGCACCATGATTCAAAAGGCCCTTTAAGTAAAATCCATCACACCTCATGCTTAAAATCTGATTGACTTCTCTGTATCTAGGCTAAATCATTCTGTATTATACGTCAAAATATACAATTACCATCTGAGAGCAAAGAGAATAAAAGAACAAGGTGAAATTTTAGAGTAAATGGAACTAGATGACAGAAACAAGATGGCAAAAGCTAAATGCTAAATAAACTCTTTGGCTACTACGAATGAAAAAAAAGAGAAGAATGGCAAAAGGGAAAGAAATAATCCCACACATTTCTGAAGAACTTCTGCGTTCACAGTATTCCTGAGCATTGAACCTGCGGATTAAGATTAAAGGACGTTTCACTTTCTCTCTTCTGAGACCTTTACAACATCAGGTCTGAGGTTTCTAAAACTTTTAAAATAACAGCTTCCATAATTAAGGTATATGCTAATAATCTATGTTAATTCCAATTTAAAAACAGTTCCTTCTCTTGCATGAAATAAGCATTTCTTGTAATTAAAACATTGGGTGACTCAAAAAAACCTGCAAAAAACGAGTCAAAAATCAATAGAATCATTATGAAATTATATTTTGGGTAAATAAAAATGGATAGCATTTTAGACTATTTCGATTTTTTTGCAACGGTCATACTTGTTGAACAACTTTTTTCAGTATGGTAATGAGAAAAACCTAAAACTGTGAACTGTTCATTTAAAGTGTGAAGTAATTATGCATCGTAGTAGTAGGTGTTGGACTACAATTAATATTATATTACAGTAGTAATGTATTGGATTACACCAATATGAATCACAAATGAGAATAAAGGGAATAAATTCAGATGCATTATGATAATGAGAATGTGTTGGGAATGTGATAAATGTTCATGAAATTGTTATTATTTATATATTAAGGCTGTCAAACGATTATTCGCATCCAAAATAAAAGTTTGTGTTTACTTAATATATGTGGGTGCACTGTGTATAATTATTTTATATATATAAATACGCACACATACTTGTATATATTCAAGAAATATTTTCATGTATATATAATTTATATTATATATAAACATCAATATTTTTTACATAAATAATATTTTTTTTCTTAAATATACATGCATGTGTGTGTATTTATATATATACAAAATAATTAAGTAAACACAAACTTTTATTTTGGATGCGATTAATCGTTTGACAGCCCTATTAATATATAATTCTTTTAATATAATTCTATTAATATAAATATATCTATAATAAAAATTATATATATTTTCTTAATGATTTATTCTTTAGATTGTCAGGTGAAATTTGAATTTTAAGCAGGTTTTTAAGAGATGCACTCTTCTGCAAATTTCTTTAATCAACACCAATGTGCTGTTGTGTTCATAAGGGTTCAGAAGTGAAAAAAAGAAGAACTCAATGCCCAACCTCAATGCCCGTATAAGTTTTTCTTCCAAAGGAAGAGGAACAACCCAAGTACTAAATGAGACAAGTGAGCTAATGTCCAATGGCCTCATTTTTTCTATTACAGCAGGCCAACAGGAAAGATGACCAGGTGTGCATTAATCCCTTTCAGCCAGCAGAGGGCGAACTCTGCGCACACGCACACACATGGTCATGAGGCTTCCAGCTGCCAGGTCAAGAAACTTCTAAAAAAACACAAAAAAGCAAAGGGGGAGACAGTGCAGTCACATGACTTCACAGGACACACCCAGGCAGCCCTGCTTCCTATCTTCTCTGCTGTCGAGCTTTTTCATGCGATAATGCCGGATCTCACGGACGAGGGTGTAAAAAGCATCCTCAACTCCCTGAAAAAACATATATATGGATATTTCATTAACACATATGCTATGTGTGAAGCTTTATGCTAATCTTCAGTGTTACAGTAAAAGCAATCGAGCATAAGCAAACCGCGCCAACACATAAAAAGAACCGATAATCAGTCTTTGCCCACCTGTCTGGTCTTGGCAGAAGTTTCTACAAACTCTATGCCGTAGCTTCTGGCAAGTTCCTGAGCTTGCTTGGTGTCCACCGTTCTGGCCAAATCACATTTGTTCCCAACTAGGACCATGGGAACATCATCTGAATCCTTCACGCGCTTGATCTGCTCTCTGAAATGTATTAAATGTACCATTATAGACATTGCACACAAATGCTCCTTCATATTTTTAATATTATATTGACATGTCTTAAACTTAAAAGCTTTGAAAGTGGTTCATCTAATCAGATTACCGCTACTTAAAATCCAGAGGATTCATAAAAAGTTGTATTCACCGAACCTGTACAAATGCACGTCGGCAAAGGATTTGCTGTTGTTTATGGCGAAGACGCAGAGGAAACCCTCTCCTGTCCTCATGTACTGGTCCCTCATTGCGCTGTACTCTTCCTGACCTGCAGTGTCCAGGATGTCCAGCAGACACGTCTCACCGTCAATCACCACCTGCTTCCTGTAAGAGTCCTGCAGGGAACGACGTGATCAGCACTGTATATTTGCATCGAGGCTTATAGTCTCACGATTACATGAATCAACCTGTGGAAAGCATGTATACACCCCACCTAAAGGATTATTAGGATCAGATGGTCATTTCATTGAGTACCTCAATAGTGGGGTCATATTCATCCACAAAGTGATTCTGAATAAGCTGGATGGTTAATGCGCTCTTCCCAACACCACCTGCTCCCACAACAACCAACTTATACTCGGTCATCTTACAGTCCTCAGAGAACACCTGTGATCAAAACAGAGAGAGTGCACGCCACACGCATATATTAATAACACAATATTCACAGAAAGCTTGACATACAAATCAAAACTTAATAACATTTGTGTAACTATATCATTAAAAACATTTTAAATGTCAGCTAAAACTGCATGTTTTTATTTCACATACTGAGTCCTACCTGGGTCAAATTTGTCAAAATGTTTGCGATTGTTTTAAAAAGTGATTTTCTGTTTTTATTTTTTTATATTCTTGTGCATCCCAGTGTGTTTGTTACTTGTTGTAAGGGCTCACTTGTAAAAGAGATTGTAATAATCTCAATGTGATTTTATTCCCTGGTAAAATAAAGGTTAAATAAAAAAAATACAAAATAAATATGTGTGTATTGGTTTATTCCTTTTTTTTGAGAGAGAGAAAAGAGGAAATCAGAAATAAGTTACACTACCGTTCAAAGGTTTGGTGTTGGTCAGATTTACAACATTTTTAAAGTCTCTTATGCTCACAAAGTCTGCATTCATTTTATTAAAATTACAGTTTAATGCAATACAATAAAATGCATGACCAGTGTCACATAATCCTTCGGAAATCTCTTTTGTAACATTAATGATTTCTTTACTGTCACTTTAGATCAATTGCTGCATCCTTGCTGAATAAAAATAATTTATTTAAAAACCTTACTGACCCCAAACTATTGAACAGGACTGTATAATCAAATAACTGTGATTGGTCCAGTTGATTCATCCATAAAATCACTGGGAAAAGTGAAACGCACCACCTGACAGCCGCCTGTGCATGTCTTCGACAGTCATTTGGGTGACTTGCACACTGAGTTTACAGTTGGCACATTGAACAGTGAATAATACAATTATTGACTCTCATATTTTTAAGACTTATATTAGAAGCTATTCGGTTTCTCTAAGAAATCACTTCCATCTGCAAACAGTAGCCCTGCAATCTATTTATAGAATGGATAAATGTCTAAGTCATTCTCAGAGTACAGCCAGGAAAAAAAAATTACCTAATAGAAGAGCACAGGTCACTGACCCCTGAACTGTTTTTACTAGCTCAAACTAAACCTAAACCTGAGACACAGACTTCAGGTCAAAGCATCTATTTTACAGTCAACAATTCAAACGAGTGATCCATCTGCGCATGTTCCAAGGAAGAAAAATAAAATGTCTTTGTAATCATTTGCCAAAATTAAATAACATGTTCTTCCTCTTCAGCAACTTTCCTTTCCCACTGACGTCACTTATGCTGATGCGGCTACTGAAAATAGCTTTTGGTTTAAGAAAATCAGATACAGTCTGGTTGCATTCTTTTAAGAGCCACCAACATCCATTTGTCTCTCTCTCTCTCTATTAAAAAACTTCCCACCCTCTATTTTTTTCTTGTTAAATATAATAGTAAAATACACATTATAGAAGTAAAATGGGTTGTGAGCAGCAGAGCATGTGAATTAAAAAAATGTACACAGATAAATAATTTATGCTGCAATATTCCACAAAAAACAAGAATGGTCAATGTTGATTTCATGACTGATAAAAAATGTATTCGTTTGGAACTTTAAATGACAGGATACTAATTGAGGCCAAATATCAATCATTATTTTTATTTTTTCTTAAAGAAATAGTTCGCCTTATTCTGTAATTTAGGGAGAATGCAGAGACCATTCACTTTCACACTGGCAATTTTAAACTCGAATGTTGTTGTGCTCTATGTAAATATGTTTCATACCATCCCATTACCTTGCCTGTGGTTTCCATGCTCCATAACCAGAGAGAATGTTCCCCGGGTGGTTTGAGATTTGAACAAACATAGTGATTTAAAACTAACAGTATTGAGATGTTTGTGGTGGAATAAACCATCAAATTAGGTCAAACCCCTTAAAAGAACATAAAAATGTTGCTCAATAGTAAATACCTGGAAAAAGAAACTTCATAGATCATTTAAGTATACATTTGACAAGTTATTACACAGACAACATGCCATTAAAGAGCCCTAGACTACATGTATTCTTCATGTGCCAAAATGCTGTATGTAGACAGTTCACTGGATATGAGGCACAGCCTTTATGTCGCACAAAGAAGCACTTATACCTAATGTTTACAGGTACCAATACACATGAGAATGCACGTAAACACCCAAGGACGGTAATAAATATGAAGCAGAGGGTTTATACGGCGTGGAGAAGGAAACTCACCGCTTACTCTGCAGTTCTGCGACCTCTGGCTGATCTGATCAACAGGGCTCCGCTAATTACTGCTCTCTCGCCCAAAATAATGCCATGGGGAGCACTTTAAAAGTCGCTTCACACTCGTCTGGAAGCAACGTAACCCCTACAAACGGGATTTAGTTAGGAGGCTAAAGATTCGGCTTGTAAAAACAACAGTTAAAGAAGTCTGTCTAAAGTTTTGAATAAGAGTTGACCAAGCAGCTTCCCCCAGAACTTCACGATTCAGAGTGACTTCCGGCTTCAGAATTCCACAAATCGTGTCAAAATAAAAGTCCAGCCGCTGAGGATGCTATAGAAATTTACATGTAGACATTAGAACGCTCCAGACACGTCGGGGTGCCCGCCATCTTGGAACGGTCAAGTTGTCGTCGTCACTCACAGTAAGAATTAATAATGCCACAACATTGTGCAACTTCTGGCTGTGAAACCAAACCAACTAGATGTATATTTCTGAGAAAAGAAAATGGAATAACATTTAACATACCCGTGAGAATGTGTTGGTTTGTGTTTTTATGTAGTAATTCAATATTTCTGTTTTTTACTATGGTCCTTATTAATGTTTTTAATTTTACCATGGTAACTTTTTATGTCATGTTAGCTGACGTTCAAATAACTAGCTCTCGAATGTTCTCGGACAGTCTTTGAACGTTCCAATATCGCGAGAACGCGGATATAGAAACACCTGGAGAAATGAGGTTTCTATGTATGTATATAATACATCTATGGTGGCTGCCATGTAGGATGAAAAAAAATTAACATAGTAAAAGTGCAACAGTATATGAAAATTATGTATTTTGCGCACTTTTATTTAACATATTTTCTACTTAACATGATACTTACATCTTGTTCTTGCATCCGAGTTGAAAAGTTTAAAGACAATAATAGTGCAAAATGAAGCTACTGTAATAAAGGTTAATTCAGCAAAATGATGTGTAGAGAGAAAGCAAATTATATTATTAAAACTTTAATAGAGTTTGAATAGAGAATACACAAACTTCAGCTAAATTAAACGAAGACTTAAGAGCAGTGGCTGAAAATCAAAGCCATGCGTCTTTGCAAGTAGTAAGTCTGGTCAATTCTCACCACCAGTCAAGTAAAACATAAATGGAATAGTGTGTAGTTGTGAATTGTGTACATCACAATATTTGTTACAATTATCCTCTATTACGCACAAAGTCAAACCAAAACAACATTGTAAAATAAACTATGTACAACAGGGGGAAAACATTTATAAAGTATTTGCACAATGTATATTTCACATAAATAAGAACTAGCTAAAATACAATTAGCTTAATTTGTATAAAACCTGAATTTAAATAAGACTGTATTTTATACACATTGCATTTATTTTACAAATCTATAACAAATGAAATCATTAAAGTTAATTACACAACTAATAGTACGTTAGGAAAAACTGTGCCACACTCAGTCAAACGTGATGCAAAACAGAAAATACCATTATTTCTTGCGAAATGAGCTTCTTTCCCAGTCAAATTATTCTAGGAATTTTGGCAGTACACTGCATCCATACCAAGTGACAATGACTTCTATTGGTTCCCTGCAGGGGGAAATACATCAACAAATACATGACAAATACCGAGTACAGCTGTTACAGTAGCTGCGCTTCACAATGAGAAAACCAATGATCTAAGTCCCTTATTCTTAATCGCAGCCAGTGCGGTGTTCATTATTGATGACCTGGACAGAAGCAGGGTGGTAAACCATCAAGCTTCAGGGGAGGGGCTGGCAAATAAGACAGGAAACAGATGATTCGATTCGGGAGGCCCAGTTGACTCAACACCCCCAGCGCCCTTTTCCCGAGGGTATTTCTGAAAGCAATTCTGCATAACTGCTGAAGACTGAGGGGTGTGGCTGAAAGACAGCAAAACAAGAAGTTACTTACAATTTACTCTGACTTTAAAGCCGTAATAATATGTTTTATTATTTAATATTAAGTGTCTTGTGACAAAAAGAAAAGAAAGACAGGTCAATGTTTGCTGTGGTGTCTTAAAGGAAAACACACATTTAGTTTCAATAAATGGACTTGAAAGTTTTGATAGTTAAATGGAGTTCTGAATGTTAGACCAGGTTTCATAGTACAAATGTTATGTCTCATAATATGAACAACATCTTCCATCACCATAAGAGTTCAAAAACGTATAAGCGGAGTACTTATACTTACATTCATAAAGCTCCAGGCAGAGGGCGGATGCTGAGCCGGCTCTGGTGTACTGAATGGGCTTTTTGCCGAGGTTGTCTCTGGCTAAAACGTTTCCCCCAAATTCGACCAAAAGCTCAATTAGTTCTGTATTTTTCACTTTAGCAGCATGATGCAGTGCGGTCTCATGAAGTTTAGCAGCATTTACATTTGCACCTAAAACATGAAAGGAATACATAGACATCATAGGAAGAACATGCACAAAAGTGTATTATTTATTATGTGCTACAACAAATGAACAAGAGATTTGATTCATGTTCCATTTATCACTTTACAATAAGGTGTCATTTGTTTTAATTGTATAGAACTAATAATGAACAATCCTTCTACAGCATTTATTCATCTTAGTTCATTTCAATATTTACCAATACATTTTTAGAACCAAATGATGTATCTGTTAACATTAGTTAATGAGCTAACATGAATTAAGCAACGAGTAATTCTATTTTAAAAGATTAATAATGCTCTAAGAAAAATATTTCCCATTGTTCGTTTATGTATTAACCAATGTTAGGCCATGTGTCCACCAAAGCGTTTTTATCCAGCTGAAAACACCAGACGCTCAGCTGAAGACTGAGCTTCCGACTTTCCGTTGAGTCGTTTCGTTGCTATGATAAAGAATATCCGCAGCGCAGTTTACTTGTAACTGATTTCGCAGATAACTTGTTTCAAACTAAAAATGTATTTTTCATCCATTTTGTTCGGTCAGCTCTGCTGGTTGATGTCGTTGTACAGAAAGAATGTTGTGACAGGTGGTCGGTGTGGTATTAGTCCCGCCCCTCCTCCACTGTGATTGGACGGCTGGGTAAGAACAAAGTGACAGTGATGAGCGCTGCTTTTTATCCAAAGTTGAATATTTTTCAACTCTCGGCGACCAGTAAAAGACGCCGTGCGCTCGGCACTTCAGCGTGAAAAAAACGCTCAGTGCCTCGTTACGCTCATGCCGTTTAAAAACGCGGCGCTCCCATTGAAAACAATTGAAAACATAAGCCAGGCGCGTGAAAAAAACGATTTGGTGGACACACGGCCTAAAACCAGTAAAAAACGCAGGGCGCTCGGCGCTTCAGCATGAAAAAAATGCTCAGTTCCTCGTTACGCTCATGCCGTTTAAAAACGCGGCGCTCCCATTGAAAACAATTGAAAACATAAGCCAGGCGCGTGAAAAAAACGATTTGGTGGACACACGGCCTAAAACCAGTAAAAAAAACGCAGTGCGCTGGGCACTTCAGCGTGAAAAAACGCTTAGCGCCTCGTTATGCTCATGCCATTTAAAAACGCAGCGCTACCATTGAAAACAATTGAAAACATACGCCAGGCGCGTGAAAAAACGATTTGGTGGACACACAGCCTAAAACCAGTAAAAAGCACTGGGCGCTCGGCGCTTCAGCGTGAAAAAAACGCTCAGTTGCTTGTTACGCTCATGCCGTTTAAAAACGCGGCGCTCCCATTGAAAACATACGCCAGGCGCATGGAAAAATGCTTTGGTGAACACACGGCCTTAAAATCACCATGAAATCAAAATTGATGGTTCCCATGTTTTATATTTTAGTAATTATTATAAATGATTTAACTTAACTTCACCTCAGTGACATCTCTAGTCGGATGATGTGTTTACTGACGTGAGGGCGGGGCAACCTGTCACTCACATGAAGTCGACCAATAGCAAACCATCCAATCAATTCCTATTGGTCTCTCCCTACATTTTTGTCTCGTTGAAGAAGCCACTTTTAAACTCGGATTTGTCACAATATGGAAGAAAAGACTATCTCAACTTCTGTTTCATGTCGAGTTTAACGGATGAGATCTTATTATAAAATGTTACCAAATCAAAAATAAACACAAAAAGCGGGAAATGCAGAAACTGACCTGCGTTCAGCAGAACCTTGACACAGCCGAGATGCTGCCTTGCACACGCCACATGCAGAGGGGTGCCGAAGTGACAGTCATGGGCTTCCATAAACGCACCTTCATCAATCATGAGCTGAACACATTTAGAGTTACCTGGCAGACAAAAAAAAATCATTTTTAATCATTCTGAAAGAATTGGTTTTGAATAATATTCAATGTTTTTCTCTCATCAAAAATCTAATTTTTAAATCGTGGATGTGCAGCTGACAAATCTGCAGGAATGTTATCATGTCAATACAGACAGAAATCTCTTAAGGATGTTTCCAGCACCTTGCTGAATCTATGCCATGAAGAATTAAGACAGATCTAAAAGCAAAAGTGGGTCCAACCCAATACTAGCAAGGTGTATCTAAAAAAGTGGCCAGTGAGTGTATATCCAACTTTTATATAAAGAGCTGTATTTGCTGGTATATATAGTATCACTTTATGCGAGTATGCTGTATATTTGCAGGCATTGTATCTAGACAGCCTTAACCTTCTGGGGTCCAAGGTGTATTTGGGGTCCTTGAGATGTTCTGACATGCCCTGACATTTGTGCTTTTTTCAGTTGCTTATAAACATATTAATGGCACAGGTGAAATTACACTATATTTAGCACAAACAGGGCTACCATAATATGTGAGCAACATGTTGTACATGTTTGTATTTTTGAAAGAATTGTGTTTATCCATGGTTTATGCCTAATCTTTCACATAAAACTGTAAATTGGGTTATATTGTGTAGGTTAAACCAAGCATCGGGTCACTTTACCGCCCATGCAGGCTTCATGCAGGGGTGAGAAGGTGAAGAGAGGAGGGTTCACCATGGCTCCATGTTCTAACAGCAACTTCACACACTCCAGACTACCAGCCGCACAGGCGTCACACAACGGAGTACTGCCGTCAATGTTACGAGCATCAACCTGTTGACAATGACACTGGCAAATAAACAACTGATGTGACTGATTCAAGAGGTCTACAGAATGGAGAAGCTCCTTACATGAGCTCCAGCTTCCAGGAGCAGCTTCACACACTGTGTTTGGCCCTGTATACAGGCCTCATGGAGGGGTGTGATAGAGTCCACGGCCACAATGTTGACAGATGCTCCGTTCTCAATCAGTTTTTGGAGCTGCACAGCTTTGCCCTGAGCCGCGGCCTCGTGCACTGCTGAACGATCAGTCCAGAACCCCAGACCATGTGCTGTGCGTAGAATGACACAGACAGAATTCCAAAACATAGCTTTAGATAGGTCTTTATGGTAGATATGAGTGATTTCCAAATGATCCATCAGTAATATTAAAGGGTTAGTTCACCCAAAAGTGAAAATTCTGTCATTATTTACTCACCCTCATGTCGTTCCGGATCCGTTAGACTTTCGATCGTCTTCAGAACAATGAAGATCTTTTTGACGAAATCTGAAATTTCTGTCCCTCCATTTTGATGCTTTAAGCAGTTCATAAAGAGATCGTAAAACTAAACCATATGAATTGAGTGGCTTAGTCCAAATTTTCTGAAGGGTCTCGATTGTTATATATGATGAAAATATGGAATTTAGACTTTTATTCACATATAAACATTCATCAACTCACGCATCAGATCTGGTAAACAAACCACTTTGAACTCGCGCATCAAGCAGATTCGGTTGAGCTTCTGTTTGTGTTCGCTGATCAATGTTTAAATGTGAATAAAAAGCATAAATTCAATCTGCTCATTCGGTCGAGTCTCTTCAGAAAATTCCGACTAAAGCACTTAATTCATTTGGATTAGTTTTAAGATCTCTTTATGAACTTTTTTAAGCGTCAAATTGGTAGTTGCGTAGCTGTCAATGGAGGGATAGAAAGCACTCAGATTTCACTAAAAACATCTTCATTTGTGTTTCGAAGATGAACGAAAGTCTTACAAGATTGGAACAACGTGAGGTTGAGTAATGACAGAGTTTTCATTTTAGAGTAAACAATCCCTTTAAGTAAAAAGTAAATAGGTAAAAAGTGCAATTTATACACAAAAGGAAATTTCAAAAATATCATACAGTATAACGTTAGTCATTTTGTATGTAGTTCTATTTAAGTCGTTGTGTTGTACTCCATTTAACCCAGATGCGTCTGCAAGAACACTTCATCTGGAAAGCATCATGTTTACTAACATCTGATAGACATATTTTAGATGTCAGTTTAACATACATTTTAAATCATTACATCTTAAAAACATGTTCTAAATGTCTATTAGACATCTGACAGGAAATGTCCTATAGACGTATAGCAGATGAGCACATCAAATAGACGTCTCTGTGATGTACGTGTTCTATCAGGGAATTCTGCATTCTAGGAAAGGACGTTTTTGATATTATCATGTAACAGCCTGGTGTCAAAACTATTTATTTATTCCAGTGAACAGAAAAAGGACATGCACAGGACAGTGAAACTGACTCATCTAAATTACGTGTTGACTGACTCAGCCTGGTCACACTGATCCAGGGCTTTAGTAACATGCTAATTGTCATTGGTGACTTATTCAAGGCCAAACAGCCTGTGGTCACACAACAGTTCTGGCAGCAATATTTGTCATCTAGCCTGGGTCAGCACAATTATATTAAAATGTGTCATATCGTTACAGTTAACTGCAGACTGCTGGTTAATTCTTGCAGTGTAACATCTTAATCTGCATGTAAACTTAACTTACCAATATCCCCAAACAGCGAAGGTCTTGTGCGCGTTATTTCAAATTCCATCATTTATTCCAAATCATAAGAGAATAAAGAATACATACGTCACATATCTAAGATTCATGAGGGTATCGTCAGCCATAGTTTACAAACACTAGACCTTTTTTCTATCGACTAGCGAATCATGCTGTGGGTTCTTCCCTGGAGACATAAAATTGTCGTGCAGGGGGCGCTATTTGGCCCAAAAAGACGAATTCAGGTTAAATCGCATTGGAATCTCGAAGAGTTTTTTTTTCTCTCGTTTTATTGGGTTTGTACATAAAACTTCTGATAGTTTAAAAAAGTAAATTTCAAGGATCGATATCTGATATATAAATGCGCAGCCGCGCGAGCAATCTGTATAAAATGAAAAAATAAAAAATAATCACCGAATAAGCACAAACGTCTGTGATTGGTCTATCTTCACCAGCGCTGAGAAAAATAACAGTTTCCACGTGACACGTCTACTTCGGCTCGGCTGAGGTCTAAAGGATCTAAATAATGTCGTTCATAAAATTTACTAGTAACTGAATAGGGAAAGAGAAATAAAATTGTTTAAATAGCAGGTTTTTTTTAATTAAGACCAAGGAGCTGTTTGAAACCCATCGTAGAGAAAACGTTCTGGCTGCCAAGCTCCGCCCATTTAGAGACATCTCTCTGGTATATGGGTTTATCATGGTTTATTATTAGCAGGTCTGAATGAATTTCTAATCAGTGTGGACGCTCTTTGGACTGGGAAGCAAAGACTAAACAATATGTTCCTTCTCCAGCTAGTTTATTTCATGTGCAAAGCAACGATGCAAAGACGCAAAGTACATAGGCTACGTTGACTCTCATTTTGAGCAACAAACATTACCTAAACATTTCATAGTACCATTCACATCGACAACAACGACAAAAGCATTATTTGAACATTTTCATCCTTTTCAAAGTAATCCGTATGAAAATATGTATGTTTTCAGTTTATCCTAAAATGTCTCAAAAGGTTTCCATAATCCTTCAAGCGCCTTCATTAGGGACGATGAAACTGAAATGTCTTCTAAACAAGTTCAGGGGCTGGTTGCATAAACTTTATGTTAAGACAGTGTCTTAAGTTCTAGTATGACACACTAGTTAGTCAGGGCCAGTCAGTCTTAGGCTACTTTTCATTATCAAATTAAGACTACATTTTTATGTAGGCTAACTGAATTTAAAAAAACAATGAAAAGGCTTAAAGATTAATTAATTAAGATTAGTCTTTAGTGGTTTATGCAACCAAGCCCAGGTGAAATATACCAGACGTACCAACAATATTTTCAAGTGTAGGCTACAAGTGGGTCAAGAAGATTGAGACCACATTGGATCTAGAAATGTAAATAGGCATTTCATATTTAACAAAGTTATGCTGTAAATCAAAGAAGAAATCAATGTAATCAAAAAATACATTTTCACCAGCTGATCCTTCCTGGTTTTACATTCCTACATAGATAAAAAAAAAAAAAAAGAAACATTCTTTTAAAGGAATTTCACCCAAAATGACAAATCTGTCATCATTAACTCTTCTTCATCATGTTGTTCCTAAAAAATGTTATTTTGTTTCTGTAAAACACAAAATTTCAATTGCTAGAAGAAATAAACAATTCATTCCATACATTGCTTGTTGGATCTTGACAGGAGGGTGAGTAAATAATGACAGAATTGGGGTGAGCTATTCGTTTAGAGTGGGTGAGCACTGAGCAGCATTACAATGACTGAAGCACTTCTGTGAACCACTGAACAACAAAAGCAACAAAGTAGAGCTGCACGATTAATCGGTAAAAGATTGTGATTAAAATACCCAGGCGATCTTTTTCCTAAAATGACATCGAATATGCTATGTCTATAGATAATGTGAAACTGGTTCATACTGCGTTGCATGCTGGGGCGGTGCCACACTACTAATCATTTGCCAAGTATGATCACAGTGAGTGAACAATCAAATCTGTGTTCGTGCTTCCACACTTTCTGCTGACCCAGAGAAAGCAGTTGTCACGTATTGGTATGAAACAGCTTCACAAACGGTCATTTCACAGTATCATTAATTCTGTGATACAGTAATTCAAGTTATCACGGAAGCGCTTATAAATGCTTATGTCTACAGTAGCAATCAAAATAGAGTAAATCACCTTTTAAAAGTAACTCAATGCTTCAAATAAAGAAAGTATCAATTACATAATTTCACCAGTAGGTGGCGACAAGTGAATGTTACATTTATTTGTCGTTGAATCATTCATGATTTGTTTAAAAATGCTGATTCATCAAGTAATGAACCAAGTGAAGTCTTTATGAGAGAGAGAGTCATTGAATTTTCCTTTCAAACCAATTTTTAAAACTAATTGATTAAATATTTTTAAATGGACTGCACTGCAGCAATTAACATTTTGTCGGAACCTAATTACGGTATTTTGTTTAGTTGTCTTTTCAGAGTCATGGAAGAATCGTGATTTCTATTTTAAACAAAAAAATCGTGATTCTCAATTTGTCCAGAATCGTGCAGCTCTACAACTAAAAGCAAAAATCACAACACTATCAATGCGCTGGTCAGAAGTATCCGTTAAAGCAACTAAACATCAGTGGAGCGGAGATGATCGAGACTGTGAGAAAAGTCTGTGTCGTTGGGAGGGAGTTGAGGCTGGGAATGGTGCCGATGTCGATCTTTTGACTGAGAGACGTGGCTTGTGTGCGAGAGTGAGGGGAGAGAGCTGTACGGCCCATCTTTTTGACCCTCCTCCTTTAAAAGCTGCTCCTGATTGGGCACCGGGGTCCACGGTTGCCACGAATCTACAGTGGAGCAGCTCTTCGTCAGCTGAGGCTTCTTCTGCGCAGAAAACATTTTGCTGGAAGAGTGGAACTGTCAATCAAGAGAAGACAACTATGAGACATGCTCGTGCATTTTTTTAAGGTGCACAGTTTGAGAGAGAATTGGGAAATCATTTACAAAATGAAGCTAAAACTGTTGTTAATTTTGTAGATGCTGATGTGATGTTAAGGCGTTTTACATTGGATGGAGATACAATATAGTATTTATATTTGATGTAATAATTACAATTGCTAGTTATTATACTCAGTGGGCTTCTATATAGGCCTCATGTAGCTCCGCCTCTGTTGTGTTTGGTTTTCCGGCTTGTATTTCCACAGCATGAAGGTAAGATCTTACAGATTTTATAATGAACCGCTCATTTTAAAATCTTTGAAATATCCGATTCAAACATTACAATGCTCGTGATAACTTTCGGTAACTCTACAATATATTTTTTTTAATATTCTTTGACGGCAATGCCATAGAAATATACAGAGCTATCTCTGGCGCATAAGTTCTATAGAACCCCAGGGTTAACTGAATTTTAAAAGAACACTTTATGCCAACAAAAGTTCTATATAGGGAGAAATGTCTTTATGGTTTCATAAAATTTTCATGTTTAACAGGTTTTCAATTTGTTTTATAGTGTAAGTATTTACAAGTGGTTTAATTCATAACATTTATTCAAAATAAAAAATGAATTAAAACGAGGTTAATTGACCCGTCGTTAACCTGTCTGACCAATCATAATCCGCCATCCGCCAGTTTTGTCCGACAAAGCAGTCAGGAGAGATAGTAGATTAACTTTGGAGGACTTTCTGATTAACGGATGCTCATTCATGTTTATTTGATGCTAAATGAACTAGCAGGAAGAGATGATCTGAAGTCATTGATGACTGTGATCTAATCCATATAATCTGATATTAGATTTTTAAAACACTTTAAGGACATTTTTACCTTGGGTGGCCCTCTAAAGTCTTCAATTTTTGAGGAAATATCCATGATCCAGCCCTTCATGTCTTCTGGAGTGTCTGACTGCATATAGAAAGAACATGAACAGGTTTAGCTGACAAGATGGTTTAGTTGAGCTATTATGATATCGTGTATAGAATTATCTAAGGATTCTCAATAGCAACCTGTGTATGTTACTTTGAGACAACAACCATAGAATTATTTATAATTATCAATCATTTGATTTACCTTACATTCCTTTCAAAAAATTTCCTTATTTAGTTATTTAGTAAGAGTTATTTTAGTATTTTTCATGCACTATTTTAGCATTTAACAATATTTTGAATTAGCTATTTGAATTATCTACCTTCAATTTTAATTATTTTTATTTCACTTTTAGCTTTAATCATTTTAGTGCTTCAAAAAAAGTTTGACTTTATTGCCAAGGCAACATTTCTAAAATGTTTTTTTTTATGCTTAAAATTTTCATCTAATATTTACTGTGATTATAGTTTTTAATAGATTCCATTTTAGTTAACAATAACGATATTATATGAGGGTGAGTAAATGATGACAGAAGTTTCATTTTTGGGTGAATTAAAGATCTTCATAAGTCCGTTTGCATTTACAACACGCAGCACTACAGTAGCCGTATAAACACGTGTCCCACACTTGAAAAGCATTTATAATGAGCTTTTTACGTTTCGCTTGAGTGATAGAGCATTTATGCAAGGATCATTAAATAACAGTTCATCTTAAAATACATTTCACACACACCTGCAGATTTGGATGCCATTATGTGCATTTTGTGGTTCACCTACCTAAACATGATTAATTTTTATTTATTTCATAACTTTTATCACTGACACCTGGATCATTATCATCAAATCCATTGAGCCCAGAATTACCTGAATGTAGAAGGTTCTGGTACTTGTGGTGATTTCAAAAAGGTTATCACGAGACAGCAGATCCCTACAACAAACAACACACATAATTGTTAATTTCTTTGTTTGTTTTTTTTTGACATTTGAACAATAGAATGATAGTGTGTGTGTATACATACACACATACTCAGGGGTAACTTAATTAGGTACACCTATTCAACAACTTGTTAAAGGAAAACTCGGCCGTTTTTTGAAACAGGGCTTATTCAGTGTCCCCTACATCAGAATAGTTTGGCAAAAGCAATTTTTTTCAAAGTGCATGCATTGTCTTAGTTAGCATAATTAGCTTAGCATAATGAATGGAATCCTATGTTGCCAAGTAGCATGTCGTGAGTAAAAGTGATTAAAAAAAACCCCAAACCAAACCTAATTACTTCTTGTGGCCTGTGTATTCACAACGAGTACAAATAGCATTTCAAATTTAGGCAGATATTGATTTGGGACTATATTAGGGTGAATCACAGGCGAAGCGCCACAGCCGACCTGAGTATTGTTGCTGTCCATTTTCATCTCTTTGTAACCACAGTGCATCATATTCTAAAGCTACTTCCAGCAGGATAACACACCATGTTACAAAGCTCATCTCAACTCAAACTGGTTTCTTGATCATGACAGTGAGTTCAAGAAACTCAAATGGCCTCCACCACTGTAGACATTTTTTTTCTTCAAGATTTGTTATCACAACATTTTTTCTTTTGTCAAATCAACTTAAATAATTTATTTAGTTGAGATAACTTATTATTTTGAGTTTCTGATGATTAATTTAATCTCATTCATTGTATTAACTCACTTTTTCCAGTTCAATCAACTTAAAATTTTCAGGCAACCAGGTTACTTATTTTAAGTTAAACCAACAATATTTTTTTAGAGTGTAGACACCAGATCTCAATCCAATTGGGATGTGGAGGAAAGGGAGATTCGCATCATGGATGTGCAGCCGACAAATCTGCAGCAACTGCGTAATGCTATCATGATATGGACCAAATGCTCTGAGGAATGTTTTCAGCACCTTGCTGAATCTATGCCATGAAGATCCGAAGGAAACCCAGTTCTAGCAAGCTGTACATTTTATCAAATATGAATTGTGAATTTATCGAAAGTTTGGATTCAGAAAGTTTATTTTTATTTTTAACTTATTTTTTATCAAGAAAAGATGCATTAAATTGATCAAAAGTCAGTAAAGACATTTGTTACAAATTTTTTTTTTCTTAAATGCGGTTCTTTTGAATATTCCATTTATCAAAGAATCCAGAAAAATATTAAGTTTATTAATATAAACTGTTTTCAACATGAATAATATTAATAAATGTTGCTTAAGCAGCAAATCAGCATATTAGAATGATTTCTAACGGATCATGTGTCATTTCTCATGTTATATCATGATATAAATACACAGTACCGAAATGCCAGAAATGTGAACTTGTTGGTTTGTGACCAAAACCAACAAGAAAAACCACAAAAAAAAAGTTCTCACCCTGATTTTACAAGGCACTCGTTAACTCTCAGCACATCCCGCAGTCGAATACTGCGCAACGGTTCCTTATCCTAAAAAGAGACAGGTGTACATAACTGTTCATGATATAAATATAAATCACTTGTTTTCTATTAAAGAGATTTTCATTCTGGCGTCTCACCATTTCAGATTTATAGTAGCTCACAGTTTGGTCATCCAAAATAAAAAACCTCCTCTTCCAGCTTTTCCTCTGAAAGAACATTTGGTTCAGTGATGGTGATGTCAAACTGAATTTAACAAAAGTTTTGGAGAAGTGTTTCTAGTTTAGCAGGGTCTATATTTAACATAAACTATGAACTTCATAAACCCATCAATATGCTAAATTATGAACTTGACAAACTAAGGAGATACTGGTTGGTTGTACCCCAAAATCACAAGACACTGGTCTTACCACATTGCCTTGCTTGACACAGAAGCCAGACCTCACGACGTTTGGACGCACACTCTGGCATCTTCTTAAAGTGACGTGTGACCCTAGTTCACTCGTGAAGACGTCCTCAGAATCGCTCTGAGGAACCTAACAGATTTATGTTTATGTTTCCCTGTCAACTACATTAAAATCATCAATAAACAACACACAAATACATTACCTGTTGGACTGGCGTGTGCACAACCACTCCTCCGACAATTTCTGTTTTATACGCCTGTCCAGATGTCGAATGACTTGGGTTTGAAACATTTGTGACATCAGAGCTTTGGGTCACTGGTGAAGCTTTGGGAACCTTAAATAGATATTTACTGATTAAAGAGGACCTATTATGCTTTTTTTTACATGTTAAACTTTATTTAAGAAAAAGAAAAAGGTCTGCAAAGTTTCAAAGCACAAAGTCACTCCAAAGGGAGTTATTCTCTATATTAAGTAAGAACTCCCTGAAACGCCTCGATTGTAGTCTTGAGTTTTCTTCAAGGAACAGATACACGTTATTACATTACATTACATTAAAGGGGCTTGGCCTGGTAGAGTTGCGTAAGTAGTATGCGTAAGTAGTCACAATTGATGATGAAATACCAAAAAATGACAGCAGAGAAGTGAGTACGCAAAAAGCTTGACATACTGTAATTTTGGTGGCATTATTCAGAGCAATGACCCATTCCTTCAAGTCCACAGCATCATTAGCCTGCAGAAAGTACCGTCTAGACAATGCATTTATAACTGGAAGAAAATAAAACGAAACAATGGTTAGTTATTGATACTATGAAAAAAAAAAATTTTAATATCCACACTACGTACTTACCAAAACAGAACTCTGCCTTTGGTTTCTGTTTTACTGATGCTTCATTAACCTACCATCAAATATGAATAAGCAAAAATAAGTAATAAGTAATAATAAAAGAGCCTTCTATTTCTTTATATACTGGTAGAATATGATACCTTTGAAATGTAACTGAGTCGCAGACTCCCAACAAACTCTGTTCCCAAAGGTAGGTTCTGTTTTTTAAGGAAACAGGGAAAAATAATTATGCAAAATTATGCCACACTTTAACATCTGTTTAAAGCTGCACTTGAACATAAAGAGCAATACCTGTGGATTGTCCATATACCATAGGAGAAAATTCTCATGAGTATCCAAGATAAAATAACGCCGGTAAAACCTATCACTGTTCTCATTTTCCTCAATATCCAGGAATCCACAGGTCCGGTTTTGTCTGTCCAGGTAAGGCATGTCCCAGATCTACAAAGAAAAACAAATTAAAAAACACTTAATCTCACAAATGCCATCTTGAAATGAATAAACCTTTCTTTTTAGTTTGAGAGTACAAATAAATAGATTTAGAAACAGACCATATAATTGCACACAGATGCATGCACAAACACATACAGTTTAATGACGGCAAATGGGATAATCCCTATATTTACACAATATTTACAAAAAAAGATAATTCACATAGCCTATTTTTATTTTTACTCTCTCAATACAATAAGCTATTCAAGATTCCCATACTTATTGAACATTTTTCAAAAAGCATTTTCCCACCCAGTGGCATGTGATTACTAGAGAAGAAATTTACAGAGACTGCACTTTTTAGCAAATAAAAACGGTAGAGCTGAGCATACAGCATATAAAAGTTTAAATGACTTTCCATGAACGTGGGAATCCTGTAAATCCAACATAGGTGGAACAAAAACAAGTTTTCAGGGTGTTCTTGACAGGTGGATTCAGGTGTGGTTCACCTGAACCAGGATTTCATGAACTCCCAATGGAAAACTGTATTGCGAGTATGAGATCAAGCTTTTGGAGAGGAAGTCGGTAATGCGCATAACTGCCACACCTAATATTAACTTACTTCACTTCCAGAATCCCTAAGGCTCGTGACTCATCCGCGTTCCGCAGTGTGTGTTTTGTTCAGCGCGCTCTCAGAACACAATACACGCACAATGCGCGCTCATTTATCCGCGAAAACAGATGAAAGCTCCGCACAGAAAGCCGAGCCTTGTGCCACTCGCGCAGCCTCTTTCCGGGTTGACAGCAAGTTGAGTTAAAACCAAAACTAAACGCATCCGGTAGTGGATCTTTATTTTTTTTTTCACGTGCGGAAAGCGGAACCCAGTAGATGCCATGTTAGAAACGACGCAATGGGCAAGAGCGTGCGAAACAAGACATACACTTATGTATATGTACACACACAAATTTACATTTGAAGTACATTTAAGTTTTTACAGTTAACTAAGCAAGTAGGCTTACATATAAGGGTTTTTTAAACGTTTAAATAGCATATTAAAAGTAAAGTTTGGTCAGACCGCGTCAGCTCCATCTTTTTCCATTGCGATTAGTTAGAGGGTTAAAAGTCAGAAAGTATCTGATTTTTTTTGTTAGGCTACTATGAAACGTTATATGCACAATTTGAATATTAATATCTGTTTAAAACGCTTTTGTGAAATGTTTTATTTATAAAATATTTCGTGAAAACATTTGTGCAAGTAAATGAACATCATTGTGGTCGTATTTTTAAAATAAATACTCCATAAAATTCAAAGCATTTGACCAAACAAAACACTATATGCAAAAAACAAAACAAAAAACAAACAAAACTGAAATTCTTTCATAATGTAGCCTTAAAATTGTCTGGCTGTTATATTTGGCAGGTTTGTACTTGTTTTGTTAATGCTTTGCCTTTGGCACAGCAACCATTACCTGATACCTGTAGGTCTTAAAGGGAATTGAAAGTGTGCCAGTCCAAAATAATGATTTAAAGAAGTCACGGTTACTTTTCTTAAAATCACAAACATTTTGGTTGGGAGACCAGGATGGTAGACAAAACACTTTTTGTTTGAGCATCAGTAACACAGTGGTCGTTTGTGCTAGATCTTTCGAACTTTGATACACAGTAACCACATTGTAATAAAGGGGGGCGTGCACCTGAGATGCATCTCTCTGTAGGCAAGGGCGTGGTTAGTCGTTACTCTCTGACATCACAGAGAACCACAACTTCCAATAGGAAAATTCAACAGCAGTAGCCACCGTTCAACCTGAAGAGGGCAGCACTCAGACGTTTTTACACCATATATTGTAGAATTAAAACACTTTAAACCCAAATGTCATTACAATTACTTGAATCAATGAACAGCATTAATAAAGCCCCAGTATTATAGATCATTAACTAAAAAAAATTAATACTAGTATTTTTCCAGTACAAAAATTTCAGTACTGGGGTGAGTTGCAACACTAGCTGGGATAGATGTAACGAGAGGGGATTTGCTGTGATAAGATCCACATTTTATGCAAGAACTTTATTGAAGAACAAAGAGTAGGCACTTTTCAATAAAATAAAACAATTTAGCTCAGTCACTTCCCATGAGGTCAAAATGGTGATGGGAGTGTATGATATCGATGAAATTACCATAGATCTTTTTTGACTTCTGACAGTGTTACAACTGACCCCATGTTACAACACTCCCTGGTCTTCCTCTACAAATTAATATTAATGCACTGAATCTGAAAAATAAATCCTTTGATGGAGACAGGTGTAAATGAAGTACAAATACAAACCAGAATTTGGAAGTAGCTTACCTTCACTCCTTTCCCCTCAAGTGATTCCTTAGCTTTAAATACGAAAAACTAGATCAAAATGTTCAAACAAGTTTGGAATCAATTTAGAATTTAAAAAGGAGAGCAATTGTACCAGACCAAAAAATGAACAAAATTGATGACCACAACCTATAATCATTGATAAATACAAGTTACAACAAATAGGGAGCAGATATAGAAGTCTAGTAAGCATACAGAAGAATATGTTAGTAGCAAAACAAATATTATATTTTAAGTTGGTTCCTTATTTTAAATGTACTGTATCTATGTAAAACGCTATACAAATAAACATAACTTGAATTTTTCTAAGCACACACAGATAAGCCTACATCTTCATAACCACAATAGATTATAATGAATAAATAAATTATAATATAACATGTATTAAATACACAAAACTAAACAACAATACTAAAACAGTTCATTTATTAGAGTTTTCAGTCGAGATAAAAAATATAGTCAGGTTAAAACATACTAAAACATTTGTACATTGAAACTGTCTTATAAATGGTAAAGCTTTTTCTGGAAAGCTTATAAATTGTAATCAATTACACATGAGTAGCAAAGATATATGCTTTAAGTTTTACCATAAACAATAAATTAATTATGAACAAAGGTGTACTTACCAACGGTAAGAAATTATATTTTGATAAAAAATTAAAATAAAACAAACACACAAAAAAACAACATACACACATTTATGACACAGAACAAGTATCATTTGAAAGAATCCGTGAAAATGTGTAAATGTTCATGGTTAAAATCCCATTTGTTCCAAAAGAGTCCGTAGGTGTGTCTGCAACACAAAGAACAAAAGGTAAAAATTCTCACATTCCCTAAATCTGGTAACATTATGCATTGTTAGTACAATATTAGTACAATATATTAATATTAGTACTAAATTAGTACAATATGCAGAAATTAAAGAACTTATTTTTTATTTAAATTTTAAGAATTCATTTTGATCTCTTACGAGAGTTCTCTCGTGTTCTCTACGGGAAAATCCCTTTTCTCGAGAATACTGAAGCCAAAAAATTATCCTTAATTTTGCATTAATTTAAAACGCATTGCTGCAGAGGCCAGGCAGCTCATACGCCTATTGTTTGCGCCGCGCCAACTGCTGCAACCTATCATGGGACTGTATGTGACGCAAGCAACAATCACGTCCTGCCAGAAGGGGCGTAGCTTATGTCTATATTAGCAGTCCAGATAGGGTGTTCTTTGATTTTTTGTTTCTTCAGCGAAGTGTTTACTTCACATCACTGGTCTCCAGAGAAGCCTGCGCCGTCGAAAAAGCCCTATCAGCGGGATGAGCCATCTTATGGGCCCTGCACACTTGAAAAACCCTAGTGTGGACAGAGAGTGTTTTTAAACGAAAACGGCGTTTTCAAATGTATCTGGATTAATGAAGACGTAGCCTAAACTGAAGGACAATATTTAACGTGAAGAACTTCAAATACTGTATTATTGCCTTTTTTCCCTCTAAGACAAGTAGTAAGTGGAAAATAAATGGAGAAATTACAGTGAAATAATATCAGGTGCAGGAGAAGTCAACAGTCGTATCTAATCATAGACAGTAAGTATTTAGAACAGAGATTGTATAGGAAATTAAATTTGTGATATGATAATGCCATTTTCCCAATATTACCAAACTGAATTTTTAAACGTTTTTATTAAAAATGGGTCTCTTTAACTCTAAACCAGTGATTAAAGCAATGATTATAAAAAGGATAATTTCAGGTATGTCTACTCTCCCCTTTTAAAATGTCACTTTTGAAACTTCCAGACAAAAACAGTCTGTTTGATTGGGCTAACCAGGAACCAAGAAAGAGAAATAAAACTTAAAATAACAGCAAGTTTTCCTGTTACCATAAGGTGTGAACACCACAGTATGTGTAGGACAGGAGAGTTGATAAAATTGCAGTGCAATTAAAATCAAAGCAAGCTCATCTGGTATAGAGGGCTGTGAAGATGATTATGGGGGTACACCAAACCCACGATTCGGTTCTTTTCACGTTTTTTGACCCACGATTAAATACAAACCTCGATTTTTCGCTTGGAGGAGAGAGAAGAAAAAAAAAGATTTTTGAGAAAGAAAAATAAGAGATTTTTATTAAATAACATTTGAAAAACCTACAGGTAGCCTAAACCTTGTATAAATATTTGTGAGTCTTCATTTTCTTTTGATTGCCTACTCCAGTTCTCATTAAAACTCACTAGATATGTTTTATTCTGTGCATTTTTGGCACTTTTTGTGTGAAATTATATTTATTTTGTCCATCAAAAGCATGCCTTCACTTTAATTGAGCATGGGTAGCGGCGCCGAAACCCCCGCTTCACTGCTTCTCACGTGCTGCTCCTGCTCCCGGTGTGAATGAACTCATTGATTAACATAATATTAAAGAATTTATCCTCAACTAGTTACACAATTTCGGTTTCATATTGCATATCGTTACATCCCTAGTCAACATACAAAGTTTTAAATGTGCATAATAAGAAACTATTTTATAAATTAAAATAATTTAATATTTTACAAAACAATTATGAGGTTATGGTGATTTCATTATTTAGTTATTCAGTTCAATAGGCTGGTGTAGCACAGCTGAAGTGAACTGGCCCTAACCTTAAAAGGCATGTGGACTTTCACAAAAATTAAAACTCACCTGTAATAAACACAGGAAACCGTACAGAGGCGTTTTGAATCTGGAGGCGGGTCAAACAGAAGAGATAATCCGGCCGTTCCCGTGAAATGACATCACATTCATGATAGGGCAAGACCTCGACTATGCCAGCTTTCTGACAGCAATCGATAAACTGCTGCTTCTTACTTCCCTCAGGACTGGACCTGTCGAGGAGATTATATGTAAGATTATAAGTCTTACCTTTCATATGTTAGAGGAGACTGAGAGTTAGTCTGTGGGTACAGGCAGTAATCAGGCAGTGTTCAGAGGTAGAGAGGCATCAAGGCAAAACTAGAAGCTGGTATTGTTCAAACAAGTCACCATCATTTATATAGCAGCACTTTAACAATATAGATTGTTTCAAAGCAGCTTTACAGTGATCATAGTAAATTAAAGTAACAGAGATTATTTTGGCTTTACAGCAGCTCTAGAAAAAAGTTTGTTTTTTTAACAAAACTTACTGTAAACACAGCTGTGATCTTACCTCGCACTTTCCCGAAGCCTGCGACTGTCTCTATAGTGCAGAAACCATTTCCATTTCCCTTGCTTGTCTAACTCCTCCAGAATCCCCACGACTTTCTTCATGTCATCTTATAAATTTCACAAAAGTAAGTCCAATGAGATCATAATTGATCAGTTCATCTCGAGTAAAACAACATGGATAATTTCAGTAGCAACTTTTATCCGTACCTAGGGTAAGTGTGTCAAGAGCCAAGTCATCACACACTATAAAGCCTCCGTTTGCAAAAAGCTCTTGGTGAGTGAGGTTCACCACGTCATCGGGTCGGTCGATGCCAGCAAACAGGACGTTGGGGGACTTCTTCAATTCCAGCAAATAAGGCACCTGGTTGAATTGGGAAAAAAGATCTTTTGAAGGCAACCTCAATCAAACAAGCTCACAGAAATATTGTTTCTGAAACAATCCCTCAACTTATCCCCAACAACTTCTGTTAATTATATCACTTTGGCTGAATTACAACAAAAAAAACATAGAGAGCTTTTTCCATGGCTCTTGCCACACATGAAAAGATGAAAAGGCATTTCATCACTCTTAACTCAACTCAAAAGAGATTGAACTGCTCAACAGATCTGAAACTCCATTAAGGATCAGACTCTCTTAAAGTCTTTTCATTCTAGCAATGTATATTGATATTAAAATTCTGGCCGACAAAAGATAAGCCAAAAATAATTTTTACTTTATGGCTGGTCTGAATTCTGATAAATGGCCCATATAGTAATTATACTTAAATGAGCATGCAAAATTAAATATCCGATATCATATATGCAATACTGACCAACTGACAAATACATTTTGGGGTCCTCTTAAAGGATGATTTCCACAAATTTTCAGCCTAAAATTTTGAGCTTCACTCATTCACTTACCTCACATATGTGCTCTGCAATGTCCTCATTCCTCAGTATAATGAGAAGAGGGGACTGACCATCATTACTGAGGTCAAACTCTTCTGGTTCAACCTGTATGTGGCCCTCAATCTCCAACATGTGCTACAAATCAGAAATTCCCATGAAAATCTTTCCCATTTTAGAACACTTTATACAATTATTTTAACGCATAACTTTCGTACCTTGGTTTCTTTAAAGAAGGTATCCGTTGATGTGACGAGTATAAAGAACCTGTACTTAGTCTTGGATGCTTGCCACACTGAGGACTTCTGATAGTCGTGAGGATTGTCGAAAGTGTCCTTCTTGATACGACCAACGAATCCAGGATGTTGGCCAACGCTCTCTCGACTGTATTTCCTCTTGACGCTCTTTCCACTGGGCTCAATTGGACGAGAGAGTCTCTTCCTGTTGCAGACATCGTTCATCATGGACTTGTATGTAACAGCACATTGCTTTGTTATTTCTGAGATCCCGGCAAACTCAACATCATTGCCCTTTTCACAGAAAAGTCTTTGAAGATGTGGTTTGCAGTTTCTTACAGACTCCCTCATCCCTCTCCTGTCAGACATGTCCACTTTTATCTTAAAATCAGTAAGTGATTGTTGTGCTTTACTAAGGTCAGCGGAGTTCTCCTCTTCACTGAGATTTGAAAACCGAACAGTCATGGGACATGTAGACAGGTCAGGATTTTCCCAACAGTGTGATGTGCTGGTACTGGATGTGCTCTTATTTTCTTTGAGAACCTGACTCATGTTTTTAGAGAAAATAAGGTACTCAAGGTCAACCGCAGACCGGGTCACATCAGTCTTACTTTGTTGTTCTTGCCAGCCATGAAAAGAGTTTTCAAGTCCAATGAAAGATGGTTTCACGGTGGGAGAGTTACTGAATGTTACCCGGTTTCCTTTCCTGTCCAAAACTGTGACAATAGAGGAGAGTGGAATGTCGAACTTATTATCCCTCTCACTTACATCTAATTGCTGACTGAAGGCCGCCTCCCTTCTGAAATACCTGCGCCAGTCAAATTGCTGCTTAGTTGTCTTAACATGTGGAAGGGAACTAACCCTGACTACCTTAGTTGGCTTTGCTTGACAAGTTTCAAAGCATGTTTTTTGGATACTGTAGTCTACAGTTTTTTGGATACTGTAGTCTACAGTAAAATTGGGACAGTCTTCATCATCCCACTCAGAATATTGGCAAAATTTGCTTTTTCTGGACTTTTTTTTTGGACTTTGTTCCCTGGTATATTCAGTAGTACAAGTAACTGACAGAGGGTCTGATTTATAACTCTTTTCTGCCCAACAAAAGTTTTCCACCTCTTTCTTTGCATGCTTTGTGTGCCTGTAGGAATACTCACGTTCAGATGTAATGTACTTAGAACAAATGGGTTGATCATTGTCACAACTAAATTCATTTTCACATGGATACAATTGGTGATCAACTGGTTCCTCTGTTTGGTAATCAGGCCACGACAAACCTTCATCAGATCCCTGGTAATATTCATGCAAATCGTCTACATTGTCGTCTCTGTAAAATAATCCAGAATCATTTTGAGGTCCACCCTCAATGGAGTTATAGTTCTTGTCATCTTTTTGCTGGGAGGTGGGACAGAGTTTGTGCCTTAACTGGAAAGAGCCCTCACTGGGCGAACGCTTAGTAGTTAATTCAGATTTATCTTTGAAATCCATTTTCCCAGGTTTTTTCATTCTCTCACACCTTAGTTCGTCATCATACGTTTCTTCATAATGCCCTATAAACTCAGATATTGACTTTGTGGTAGAAACATGTGCTTGAGGACATACAGGAATTTTAGGTGGCAGCATGTCAACATGATCAGTGTTGTAAGGAAAGTAAAGATCCCTATTCAAATCTTCTTCCCTGAATTTTTCATTCACTTCTGGTAAAGATGCAATTTCATCTTGCGTAGGAGTAGAGCACATGCTGTTTACCTCCACTTCTGAGGGTTTGTAAATTGTCAAAGCTTGAGGAGCAACGGTTTCATTACGAGTTTCAGTCCGGCTATGGGGCAAAGCACACATTTTTGCAGACAGGCATTCTTGGTATGTTTTGATGAGGTCATCTTTACAAGAGCCTTGACTTTGTGTCTCCTCGTCAACAAGTGTATCATCCTCAACACTGGCTTTAGATTTATCCTGTTGGCCTAAATCTCTTTCATCATCTTTTTCTAAATGACTAATATCCAATTTGGTGGGTTCAACAGTAGTTAGTGGTTTTAACTCATTCTGACATACTTCAAGAGCTTCTTGTTGGACCACAAAACTCTGCTGAAGGGTCTCGGTTTTAATCTCATCTTGCATTATATTAGAAGTATCAGTACAAGAAGCTGGGGTGGGTTTCTCTTGAACGGACATCGGCTGATCCTCATCTGAGGATGAATCATTGCTTAATACAAGGGTATAGTCTTCTAGGTCTGTCTCCTCTGGTGTGTAAGGTTGTGTTTCACGCTTTTGTATCTCCATGTCATCATCATCATCATCGATGAAAGCATCTTCATCACTGAATTCCATTTCAACACGGTTTATTTTATCCTTTAGACCCCAAACAAACTCATCTTGATGTTCCACCATTGCCATGGACGCCTCATGTTTAGTATCACTGCCATCCAAGTTATCCCATTCCTTTGACTTACTCTGACCTTCTTGCATAATTTCTTCACCAGTATAACCTTCATCTTTTTCTTCCGCAAACTTTTTAGTGTCATTCTCTTCAATTCCATGGGACGACGGATCAGTCAAGTTTAACCGATCTTTCACATCAAGCTGTTCTTTTGCACTAGGAATCTCATTACACTTTTCAATTTCAGTCTCATCTGATGTAGCATCTCTCAGCTCATCAACCATATGAGTGTGATCTTTCAGGTCATACACAGGGTTAAAATCTTCTTTTGCATTTGAAGTCTCATTATACTCTACAACTCTCGTCTCATCTGATGAAATATCACTTAGCTTATCTAGATTTGTATCATCTAATATAGGTTTCAATTCTAGTTTTGCAGTAGAAGTCTCTTTGTGCTCCTCAACACTAGTATCATCTGATGTAGCATCTCTCAGCTCATCAACCATGTTTGTGTGATCTTTCGGGTCATGCACAGGCTTAAGATTTTCCTTTGCATTAGAAGTCTCATTATACTCTTCAACTCTCGTCTCATCTGATGAAATATCGCTTAGCTCCTCAACATGGTCAAGTAGATTTGTGTCATCTAGTAAAGGTTTAAGATCCTTTTTCACAATAGAAGTCACATTATGCTCTTCAACACTAGAATCATGTGGTGAAACATCTCCAAGAACATCTACCATGTTTGCGTGACCTTTGAGATTTAAAGGTTTAAGATCTTCCTTTGAATGAGCAGAGCAATTATGCTCAACACTAATCTGATCTTGGCTTGACAAGTCAGAAGTCATGTTTTCGTCAACATTTCCATCTTCCATAATTGTAAGACATCCATCTTGGCTATCTTCATCTGAGACTTCTTTACTCTCTTGACTTTCCTGTACTGAAATGGATGCTCCGATTCCAGTATGGTCCACATTTCCATCAACCACAGCTGCTGGGCACCCATTTTTGTTTTCATTTGTTTCAGAAATCTCTTTACTCTCTGCACTGTCAGAAACATTCTCCTTCTGGAGTACTGTATGTGCTTTACGCCCAGTTGCCTTCTTTAAACTCAGATCAAAACTTTTCCTACCCAAAATCAGACGATGTTGTTTTGAGAATGCTGACGGTTTTATGGGACTATATACTTGATGGAACACACTAATGTTTTTCAGGTCAAAAGTAGTCACTCTTGTAGATGCTTCATTCTTAGTAACATTTCTGACCTTTGGTAGTAGTATCCGAATACCTATCCTCATATTTGATGCTTGCTCACACAACTGGTTATATGAACTATTTCCTTCCAAGAGCTGAGAATATGTGCAGTCAGTGGTGATGTCATTTTCATCATCAGAGTCACTGTGACTGTCAGGCACTGAATTGTCAACTGGTATGTCCACAGAAGATCTATAATTCTGTAACAGAAAAATTTAAATCAAATAAATCATTATTAAATTGCACAATCACACTGTACAAGAGGTCTAAAATATTACTGAGAATATCACAAAGAATGTCCAAAAGAATGATTGACAGAACTTGTATAAACATAACAAGTACGTAAAGGCTAAAAGCGAACAATAATATATTTTCTTAAAAATATATTAAAAAACTAAATTCTATACATTTTAAAGATTAACACCAACTAAAAGCCAAGAGCTAAATACAGTGCAATTTTAACCATGTTAATCATTACCATCAATGCTGTAACTTTTGGATTGAGGGAGAGACTTGTCCCAGAAGGTGAACGGCTTGGTGTCGTTGGTGAAATTCCACCAGGATTTGATGCTGTGTCTTTTTTTCTGCTTTGATTTGAGACTGAACAGAAATTCACAGGCTCGCCATTTTTCACAGAAAGATCCAAAACCTCTGATGGCCTGGATGAGTCATCTTTCGAGGTCAACTCAACATTGAGCAATGACACAGCATTTTGAATAGCGTTAATGTCCAGATGAACCTTTTCAACATCCTTCCCCTTTGGAAGTGCGGTACAATTTTCAAGTTGAAATAACCTGGAGGTGTGTTTACTATAAAAAAGTCCAATCCACATGTGAAAAATGAGATGGACATCCTCATAGGTGTCTTCAATGTTGAAGTTCCATTTCCTGTCAATATTAGGGGGAAGAAATGGTCAACAGAGCCTTTTTGGAATGTCTATATATGGGTTATGATGCTCAAATGATTACTACATAAACTTTATTAGATAGAGTTTATGTGGTTATGCGTTTATGTGATCACCACGTCTTCAGCATATTTAAATTTTGATGTCAAACTCAGACATTTGATTTTCTCAAGGATTAGTATTGGGGCCAATATATGCGTGTGTAAACAAGCACTAGCAAAATACAAGTATTGAATAGCGATTTGGCATGACTCGGATCAGATTGGGGGCACAAAAAACTTCATCAGGACATCCTTAATGGTCTTAAGAATCAGTAAGAGCATTTTTTTGTGTTTTTAGCAAAAGTGTGTATATGAATATCATTTTATCTAACCCTAACCATAGCTGTATAATTTCTAGCTTGTTGCAATATATATATATTTTTTGTTGAGTTTTTAATTTCTAATTTTGGTTGAACTTTTTGATTAGTGACAATTAGGGATGCACCGATCCACATTTTTTCACTTCCGATCCGATCCCGATACCTGACTTTGGATATCGGCCGATACCGATACTTTTCCGATACCACACCTGTGTTTGCTTTAACATTATTTATAGGGATGCACCGATCCACATTTTTTCACTTCCGATCCGATCCCGATACCTGACTTTGGATATCGGCCGATACCGATACTTTTCCGATACCAGACCTGTGTTTGCTTTAACATTATTTATCATTATTGTTGATTTTATATGATGCTGAAATAAACACCTCTTTACAAGCAAGGATGATACGTACGTATGTAGCCTATGTCAATATATATATATATATATATATATATATATAATAGATATATTAAACAATAGATAGACAATTAAACAAAGATATACACATTATACAGGCCTACACAGTGCTTTAATTTCAGGAAGGTCTACTAACATTATTCAGGTATATCGTCTAAAAAGAATTATAATAAAGTAATCAAAAGTAAAATAGCACTGCAAAGTTTATCATAGATAGATGTATGCTTATTAAAGCTGAAGTTATTCATTCAAGAGCTGTGAGTGATTTTCTCTTTGCCTTTGGTTGTTTTATTCTCAGTAATGTCGCAATCGTCACATTTACTGCTGCCCCTTTAAGAACTAGTGCGGATTTCATAGTCTACTGATGCACCATATTTTCTCCCAACTATTTCCATAAACCGTTTATGTCTAAAATGAACGTAGTTAAGTGATAATCTCCAAGCCGGTCGTTTTGACATTTTTGTGCAGGCTACATTTGATCGTTTAGACGCGCATATGAAGCCCAAAGTATAATTTGCTTGTCTGTTTCGGAGCGCGCGCCGCCCTCTTGCGCAAATTTTGTGCTTTTAATAGCTCTTTTTATTATTAAAAGCGTCCCGCAATTTAGCAACAGCAGAGACGGCATTTTACAACAATTACCGATCGTGCTGATTCTGTCTTAAAGTTTGAGTTTTACGGAGAAATGACAGTGCACCGCCGCGATGGGAAGGAAGTTTGCTACACAGAATGCGGCTATTGTTTAATGGTTTTTTTTTTTTTACCTCAATATATTCTTTAATCTTTGGAAATCAGACTAATATCACAGATCTAAAGTGTAACCAGGCTATGTTTTCTCTGTCGTCACTCATTAAGCAGGGCTGTCGTGTTGTGCGTGCTGTGGCACCGCGTGAGAGATCTCTCTCTCTTTCTCTTCTGGACTGCGAATTGCAAACATGCATCACAGACAAATAGTTTAATTTATACGGCTTTGCAAACATTGCATTTTGCTGTCTTGCTCTGCTGCGGTGTTTCCAGTGTGAAGTATTTCCACCATAGGATTTCCACACAGGGAACATATTGGTAGCTCAATGCTATCCTGCTAGCTGGCTGCAAACTGCGGAATGGATTTCTTGAGCGGGCGTCTGTGTGTCTCATTGAGCCCTATTTTTTACAGTCTATGATTGAGCTGCACCTCCGTTCAGGATATCCATTCCACAGTTTGCAGCCAGCTAGCAGACTAGCAGCCCCGGGGAATCCCTTTTGGAGTCATTTCAGCAGCCAACGTTAAAGCGCAGACATGGATCATAAATATCGGATTTCTCCGCAGGTTGGATCGGAAAAATCCGATACGTGAATTACGCTGGTATCGGTCCCGATACCGATACTGGATCGGATCGGCCCCATCCCTAGTGACAATATTAAACTAAATGCAATAACGTTCAGACTTTTGTCTTGTGTCAATCGCCACAAATCAACATAAACGACAATATTAATTTTCACGACAACAATCATCAAGCCTTAACCGAAATGTAGGGTCAACAAGTGTCACTTACCCATGAAGTGCTCGTGTGACAGTTTTGTCTTTATTGTCATTGGTGAACTTGCTGTCAAATTTAAAATCATAATCTTCTTCCCAAATCCTCGTCACTTGGATCTTTCCCTCCTTTTCAATTAAGTTTCTATTCCGTGCAAATCTTGATTTTCGTGCTTTTGCCTTGGGAATCAACGACATTGTCTTATTTGAAGAAATCAAGTGCTTCCATTCTGTTTTTCCTCCTTCCTCTTGATGACTCGAGGGTGCAGTATCTTTAGGCAGGTTGAGATGAAGCCCAGTCTTCAATGACAAACCCGAATCTACACATCCATGTGGATAAGAAACCTGGGGGGATGGACCTGACAAACCTGACAGCAGAGAGGTTGGCTGTGAGTAAGAATGCTCTTTAGATATTTCCAAAATCAGTTCCCCAGTCACTAAAAGACCTTCTGGAACAGGAGACCTGGGGGGTAATTTAACTCTGGCAGATGGACAACGAAGAAGAGCATGAAGGACTGACTCCGGGGAGCCGATGCTCTTTATTCCATCAAGGGACTCCTGGCCAGGTTTGGCTTCTAAGTTCGATAACATTTTATCATTACTTGCACCGAGGGCCAAGTCAGCCAGTAAACTCAAAGCATCTGAGGGCAGAGATGCACTCATGCTCTCACTCTCTGCACTGGCTTTGCCATCAACGCTAATTCTCGTCCTTCCCACCCTATCCCCAAGCGACGATACGAGCTGCTGGTCATTGCGTTTAGCTATTTCAAAAGGTGCTGATGTGTCAAAATTGAGAGACCCTGTAAGAAATAGACAAAAACAAAGACAAAGCATAAAATAGCAGCAGCAAAGGTGTATAGTCATGCAGATGTGCAAAAGAACAGGAGGAAGCAGAAGCACAATAACATACAGACAGAAGACAAAAAGATGGAGAGGGATCATATGGGGCCAATTTTAAAACACCAGCAAAATCACTTCTCCACCCCCTCTAATTTAACGACTACTGCTGAAAATGAAACATTCACAAAGGATTGAGGTTTAAAGTGGTATACAGTGTACAACTGAACTGGTATACACAAATATGCACACAGCACTTCTAGACACTTTTCCACTAGGGGTGTAACGGTTCTCTAAAGTATATATATAAACCAAAAAATAATCGAACAAGGAAAACACAAGGAAATCACTTACTGCTCTTGACTGAATATCTTTTGTAACTTTAATAAATGATTTATCTATATTTAATTTATACATTGGAGATTATATGCAATGTTGTTTTACATTTGATTACTTTATTTAATTTCTGTACCTGAAAACTACTGTTAGATACCTGAAAAGCAGTTCATTTTATTTGTATCTTTGCTCCATTGTAATTATAGGTCAACAAGTTTTATTTTGACAGCAGACCTAGATAGCACTGATATAGCACATACCGAACCGTACTGCAATTGTGACAGTAAAACTGTGATAAAAACTGAACTGCAGGTAATATGAACAAATATAATAGAATATGTAAAGAAAGATTTGTCTTACCATTTTCTTTTGATGCCTTGTGAATAAGACCTCTCCAAGACACAGGTTGTTTGGTTACCTCCACAGGCTTCTTTGGTGGATATTGTGCCTTATTAATCATGGGCTGTGATGCTTTGTCTTTCAACTTATTCTTGATAATATCACATTGCAGCTGCATAATGGTGCCCAAATGTCTTTTTTTTGATTCTGGCTCTGTGTTTTCTGGCTCAGATTTGGCACTGTCATCAGGGGAAGGAGATTTCGGCCTCTTTCCCCTTCTGAGTACTGTCTTTAATTTGCTTATAGATATTGCACTGTACACATCACATTTTGCTTTCTTTTTGTTTTTGTCAGGGGAGGATATTTTAGGGTCCAAGTGCATGGATTGGTCAGATACTCTGGGATGACTAGAAGCTGCATCTGTTTCTTTGTTCGTTTGTTGGAAGCCTACGTTCTCATTTAATGTAGAATTAATGGGCTTTTCTGAAAATAAATCCCCACTTTTTTCAATTTCTAATGGGTTGTTTTTGTGAAGGTTTCTCAATATCTTTAATGCTGACAAGAGAGCAGTTGGCATTTCATCCGAAGAGTCTTCACAGTCACTTACCACTGGAACTTTACTGGGTAATTCTTTCATCACCGTCGAGGGAGCTTCTCCCTTACTTTCCACTACTTCTGTGGATTTGTTTTCCACAGGAGAAATAGCTTCTGTTTTTGTGTCAATGCTCATCTCAACATGCATTTTCTCACTTTGCCTCTTGTTTGCAGTATGTACATCAACATCTGAACCATGTGGAACAAAAACTCTACCACAGGTTGTGATTATGGTCTTGAGACCATATCGTTCTCTCAAGCTATATCCCTCCATCTTCCTCTTGGGTGTGCTAGACAATCTTTGCGTTGTTGTATCAGCCGGTGTGTTCACTATAGTCTCCTCATCAATCTTTACAGCACCAGATCTCAAAGAACGCTTCAGATTGTCATCAGTATTCCACAATCTTTTACGCCTTGGAAGAGACCGCCAGTCTCTTTTTGAAGGACTTTGATCAAGTATAGTTTCTGTTGACACATTTAAAGCTTCTTGTCCTTGATTTCGTTTTACGCCCCTTTGCCTGCGTCCCTTGCCCCTACTAGTTAAATGCAGCCTCTGATTAATGTCATCAGCATGCATGGTCTCAGTCCGAGTCTGGTCTTTTGTAGGGCCATTTGTGGAGTTCTCTGGCAAAACGAGAGGCAAAGTTGAAGCAGGGTTTTTTTTAATAGCTTTTCTTTTTATCTTCATGGTTCTCCATTGAATTTTGCGCTTCCTACCTTTACGTTTCGAAGAAGACTGCAGATTTAGTTTCTTTTCAGGATCAGCCATTGTTTTCTCAGGATGTATATTATCCTCCATCCCTTTAGCAGCACCACCCTCTTCTATTGATGTGATTATTGGTGTAGTCCTTGTTTGGATGGAAGTCTCCTTTGTGGATAAATCTACACAGACTCCATCAGCATCTCCTTTAGTGTTGCCTTGAGATGTTTTCTCAACATCACCGTCAATACTTATACAATTTTCTGAAGGGAAGTCACCCAATTTAGGTGAAACTGTGGAAGTTGGATACACCAACACACTGTCAGCTACAGTAATTACAGCTGTTCCCAGTTTATCAGTGCCCTCTGGCAAAGCAGGTTGAGGCTGCTCTGTTGTCAAATGCTTGTGATCAGTCCTGTGAGAGGCATCACTGATGGCCTCTGTGTGCTTAGTCACCTCCATTTCAACGGGGGCATCAGTCTGCGGGACCTCATCAGGTGATGATATACAGTAATAGACATCATCGTCATGATCTTCACCACGCTGCTGACGACCAGTGGTGAGTAACTCCAGTGCCCTCACTACTGAAATTGTAAAGCCACAAGGTTCATCAAAATAGGATTTTAATCGAGTGCCAGTCTCCTGTGACCACTTAGGCGATATCAGAGTAAAACCACCAGGCACATCATATTGGTCCGGAAACATACTTGCTTCCCTGGTGGGAACGTCCAACAGCCCTGGGTGAAAAAGAGTGCCATAGTCTTGTAAATGCTTCTCTAATGAAATTTGAGAGCACCCCTGTTGGTTTGGAGGACATTTTTCCATCTCCATTTCTGCATAGTTCAGTGCTGGAATGACTTGCATTATTTCTGATGACACTTTAGTATCTGTCAGGTCAGACTTCGCACCTATAGATAAAAACACATGCTTATAAGACATGTACAATTTGCAAATTAAAAGATAAATAAAGTAGACTATTGTAAAATAAAAATAAAAATTAAATAATAAATCCAATTCTTCTCCTTGTTACCTTTTGGCACAGTTCTTGAGTCTGGGAAAATAAACATGCCTTGAAGTGCTGCTGCCTTACCAGACTTTGCATCTAGAAATTAAGGAAATGTATGTTTTCACAAGATAAACACCATCAAGATAGATTCTCTATCCACTTTTTAAGTGTTATTGGCTCCAGTTGTTTAACTAATGACTTTAATGAGGAAATTAACTCAATCCCCTGAAACCTTTTTTTAGTTAGTTGCTAAATAATCAGATATAACCAAATGCACATTGAAGATTTGGGGTAATGTAGTTCTTCACCAGGACATTTGCAGTTACATACATTTACATGACACAGACCACCAGCATTAAAGGAAGCATACATCACTGGTTAACAACCTCTGAGTTCATGAGGTTTGTTCACCTTTGATGGTTTATATTTTGGTGTTAAAAAAATAAGCAATTATAGAGAAAATTATTGGAATTAGAGTTGCAGTCCACTGGGCAATGTCTTACCTTCATAAGAGAAGAGATGTGAAGAGTGTAACAGTATAAGGAAACCTGAATCTTCAAGTGGTATAACAAGAGCCTGGTGAATGGAAAAGATCATAAGACCAGATTTGTTTAGAGATTTTTTCAGTGTTTCTTTGATATTTCTCTCTTCCCCATATTTACCATGTCATTTTCCTTTAGCTCTTGGGTTATCTGAGCAAGATCATTTTTCGCCTTAGAGGAGACAACGTCATACAAGTTGAAACATCTGCCATCTATGCAAACTGTGGGAAGAAGTAGCAAAACAGATTAAAAGATGCTCATTTACAGTTTTAACACCAAAATGGGCGATACTGTCAATAACCAAAATACAATTTTAAACACACCTTCACCCACAATACAAGTTTCAAAGATTTCCCGCGGCAAAGTCCTCTTCAGTTCAGACACACCAATTGCACGGTCAATTTGAACTGTCTTTGGGCTGAAAATACAGTTTGCATTTCAGTCCTGTAGCTTATAAGTAGATGTATAGTATTTCTGAATAATCTACCCTACATGATTGGGCAGCTTTGTTGGTGCATTATCAAATGAAATCTGGTTTATTTTATCAGAGTAAGAGGGTCAAAAGATGTCTTTGCATTAAACATACAGTTTTGCTGGGAACCAGGCTCCGCTCGAAGACTGAAGACCAACATCATAGACAGTGGATTCAATCTTGAATTGGCCAATCCATGGTTGGTAATGAAACACTACAAAACAAGATACCATTGGTAATTACTGTAATATTCAGTGCATTTAAATGTTCTTTAAATTGTCAAGCTGAAAACCCTATACAATAAATGAAAGAAAGACAATGTACAAGATTTTGAATGAAACAATCCTCGCTATTTGCCCCATTTGCAATTTTACCACAAAAAGAGAAAAGAACATGCAAACCAATCTATAATTCTTACCTGTTTTGTCTTGGCTTGAAAAGAAAAGGTAAAGAAAACAGATTGTTAGTTGTCATATGTAAAACCTAATGTTTCATTTCATAAGATTCAGCAAAGGGTGTTTAGTCGTCAAAATCTCAAAGATCAAAGTTATAAACCTCTTTTGCTCCAACTCTGATGAGGTGTTCATCTTCCCATATGAAAATGCCACGATGGCAAACGGACAAGCATGTCTCGGACATGACCTTGTTTCACTGCTTCTATCACAGAGTTCATACATGTAGTACTGCAAGACAAAGCAACCTTGTTATATATACAGTTTGAAGCTAAGAAAGAAAACCATTTCTTTTGAGAGCTGCATCACCTGTGTTCGCTCATAGGCCAAGAAAGAACTTGTAGTTGAAGACACAGCACCGATCTGGTCTGACACGTGGCAGTCGAAGCCAGCTGTCGGAGGAGTGAAATTCTGGGTGTAGTTGTCTGTAACTTCTTTCACTCTCCCCTGATTTAAGAAAATATGTTTACAAGTGGTACATTAGGATTAATCAGCACAAAGCAACAGAATATTGATGGAAGAATAATTTACCACTAATTTGTTAAATGTGTACCTTGGTCAGCTTCAAAAGCACAATGTAGCCAGTCTTGCCATCGTACCAGCGCTTCAAGTCAAGGCAGTCTGAGTATTTTGAAATATAGACACCTAATTTGAGTGCAAATAACAGAAATATAATGTGACGATAATAGCCTTAAACAATAGCAGAAAACAACTCCACAACAATCAATTCACTGCAGCTGTGTTCAGCTGTGTACATTTGCTTTTTTTAAGGCAAAGCTTGTAAATGGCTGATAGTCCAATGAATTTTTATTTAAATGGTGTTCAACAAACTATGGGATAAAAACTGAAAATTAAGCCATTAAAGAGGCAAAAAACAAAATGCCTCTTAGTTGAAGGTGTAACTCAAATTCTGAGGTAATTCTGAGGTAAAACATGTTGAGGCCTCAACATGTTAAACTACAGTAAACAAGTTTAGTCTTTAGTCCTGGTAATTATTAAGCCAACAAGTCCTAGACTCAAAATAGCCAGGCTTTTGACACTGCATAAAAAGGTATTTTTCAAAGATGAATTGAAAAACTATGGCAAATCCAGTAAAGATATCTTTAACAAATTGTATTAACAACGTAAGCATGACCCTGTAAGCATGACTTCTTTTTCAGGCTGGTTGACAGAAACATGTGTACAAAAAGTTGTGTAAAAGCCAGCAAATCAGATAAGTTGGATAAGATATTTTGGTGTGCTTTAAATAGTCAGTAAACAGACTGTTTAAGTGAAATTTAAAGCAGACACTAAACAATCCCTGACAACACACCAACATTTGCTGGGACCTGAAATATTTTTGCATTAATGGGATATGACACAATACATTAACTTACACTCAATATCACATGAACTTTACTCTTATTTGGTTGCTTAACTGTAGAGAGACACTCATGAATGTACATCATTCAAGACTTCCCTTCTCAGGAAACAGAAGTGTTAAACATGACCACATAAACTCATCCCCGCTACATCATACATAAAATGAGAAATGAAATTAAATGTGAAAACCCTTAATCATCTGAAAGCTTAATTTCACTTGTCAAAGAATATGTGCTAAATTTCCCTTGTCTTCACAAACCTGCTTTAAGTCAATAATAATTCAAGATTATGTCTATTATTAATAGCTATAGTAGTTCTGCGTGACTTTGTTGTCCACCAAACACCCAGATCTTTTTCTCATCCTCAAGCCATGATACACCAACCATGTGACTGATGATATGAGGTTCCTTAGCTAGAAATGAGTCTCATTTCTTCATGATATTATTAAGTCTTCCACCAGTAGTTAATAATAGCCCTGTAGTCTCTAGCAAGAAAGCAGTCAACTGTTTAATTTAGACTGCAGTAAATACTTCAGTATCTAGGCAATTTGATACCATGCACTAGTGGGAAAACCTTCACTTTCTCTTTCTATAGATTGATTACATCTTAAGTAGCAGTACAGTTCATACTTTCACTTTTCATATGAAGGAGAATAGACTATGGACTTTAATTTTTACAGTTCTTCAATGCAATAAGCATGTCAATTGTTTGTTTTATAAGGCAATAAAATTGTGCAGAGATCATTTTGGGCCAGGCTGTCATGCAGAGAAATTATGAGTACAATACTGCATCTGCATTATAAAACATTCACTGAATCAGTCCAATGAAAATCATGCACTTTCATTGACAACAGCACATTCAAATCAACACTTGTCAGAAAAGCATGAAGGCTTCATGACTGATCTTGTTGCAGTCACATGTGAAATATTTCCTTGTGCATTTAAGTAAACACATTAGGTTGTTATGCTGATTATCACCAAATAATGCAATGGCTACTTTCTTTACCTTTCAAAGAGTCTCCAAGAGTAGTGCATTTTCCTTGTCTAACCAATAAGCCTGTTTCACCAATTTTCCTTGCCTGTGGGAAAACAAATGTTGCATTAATGGGTTTGGCGATTCATAAAGTCACACAGTTTTGAAATCAAGCTGATTCAATACGCTCATTGAATATTGTATTTCTTACCCTGCTTGCATCATCAAGCAACAGGAAGCCAAATGACTCTTCAAGTTCCTGTTCAGAATATCCTTTTTCCCGTTTTTCAGAACGAAAGGCAGCATACTGTTGGGGGAAAAAAAACATTCATCAGGCTAAAACATGACACAAATCTCACTACTTCATTTTATATTGTACAGTTTTTAAGAATAAAAATTACCTGTTTTTGTAAAGCGTCATTGTTGATCAACTGGGCAGAGTTGTACATGAAACATTCTTTTGATTCCTCATACAAATAGTTGTTACGAAGTGGCGTTAGAATACTCTCATTAAAGGTTACTGAGCCTGGATGCACAGGCTCCAGAAGACCTGGTAAGAAAGGACACACGTCTGAGTTATACTAATTGCTTCACATTTTTTCAAAACATTCCATCTTTTCAAAAAGAAATAGCCTAAAATGGAAAGTATTGTATGTCACTTTAGAATGGGAACTAGAGAGCATGTTGTCAAAGTCATTTGAAGGTCATGAGAAAATAGAAAACTCATTTTGGCTAGGTAAAAAAAACAACAGTTTGAAAAACTGGCTAAACAACTCCTCTAAAAAAACCAAAACACATATTCCGAATTAAAGTAAGCCCCTTACGCAATTCTTCTGCTGAACACGTTGTTCATTCTGTGAAGGACTATTGTGCAATACTTCTGTTGAAGTGTTCCACCACACTAATCTTCCAAATGTACCATATAACCATAATGTCCGTTATTGGTATTATGAACTCATCAAATTATACAGTAATATGAAATGCAGTCTAATTGTCATATTCACAAGATGGATTTCCAGCTTTTCTAATTGAAAAAAATACTGTTTAAGATTGTAGCTGGTATCTGGAAACAGGAGATCATCTTGGACCAGCAGCAATCTAGTCATCCAATAGTCACAACTGGTCAAGCTGGTTTTTGAAACATGACTCTCAACCAAGCTAGAACAAGCTAATGATCATCTAAGACAACCTAATATTTCAAACTTTACATGGAGGAATGAGATTCATAACCAATGCTGTAAATAAATCAACACTGCTGACAATTCTTAACATCTAGTGTTTTGTACTAAACCCATTTAAGCATTTTTTGGTCTTTAATTTTTGACAAATTTTACAAAAACACTGAGAATAAGGACCAGAATGAAAAGATCTTTCGGTAACACTTTACAATAAGGTTTCACCAGTGAATTACTTTAGTTAACATGAACTGAAAAGGAACAATACTTCTATAGTGTTTATTAATCTTAGTTTAATTTTCAGTTTTTAGGAAAATCAGAAGCTGTATTAGTTAACACACTGTGAACTAACATGAACAAATTATTAACTAGAGTATTTTACAAAGATGAATAAATACTGTAACAAATGTATTGTTCACTGTTAGTTAATGCATTAACTAATGTTAACAAATGATACCTTATTGTAAAGTGTTACAGACCTTTCATATAGATAATGCACACATATCTAGATTAGAAAACATTTAATAATAATGGGCACATATAATAAATAAATATAGGCCATGTCTAAGATGACATTGCACAGTAGTTAACTAAAACTGTAATGTAAACCCCAAGCTTATTAGAGCAAAGGTAAGACTATCACGTGTAGATTTACCAGGCCCACGCTGACTCGACTGTAGAACTGGTTTAGTTTATGGAAACCAACCAAACCAGTACCCGTGTCTTCTTTCAACCAGAATAGGCCAGTCGTTTCAAATTTTACACGAGTGCAAAAATGGTGTAACTATATTTAAATACTTAAAACTGAAACTCAGAAATGCAAAATAAACAAACAGTTTCTTTGACGGTAAACAAAAAGAGCACAAAAAATAGAGTGGGTTTTGAATGGATAAATAAATAGATGTTTCTTGCATAAATTATACAAACACTATTGACGTCAAAACAGAAACTAAACGTCAAAGAGTCCGCTAACCCCAGTTACCTTGTGTTGATTGTGTAGTCGCATTCTCCATGAAGACGAAGCATAGATCCCAGGTTTTCGCTTAGCACTCACACGATATATTAGATATTTCTAATACTCGGTGGCCCACGACATTCCACTCAAACGAATAAAAAGATACTGCCTGTTCCGAGAAATAGTCATGAAATGTTTATTGAAAGTTCCGAGGATAATTATTAGTTTCGACGAGGAACATTGGTCTCTCAGGCTGAAATGCGTATTGAAGAACTTGAATTGTACTGTGTGACTGTGTTGCAACCAGGAAGCGAATCCACATAAAGACAGCAAAGGTTGGGCTGTGAAAACGGCAGCCAGCGAAGTGGTCTGAAGGCCGGTTTTTAACCGTTTTTTTCTGACTGGAATGCTAAATCATTCGATAGCGCGCGCGCTCGCCTCGAGGGACGCGGCGATACATAGAAAATCGTAGCGAGTAAGCGAAACGAAATAGAAACAGAAAGTCAAAAGTTTGCGTCCATCTTGCTTCTCGCGTGCAGTTCCGTTTGGCGTCGCTAGTGTTCGCAGCACAGGAAAATTGGAACGATTTCGTTCAACACTAATTATACTCGGATTTATCACTGAATATCGATTTAATCATTTAAAGAAGGTGTTTATGGTTATATATTGATAACGAGTAGACGTCGGTAGCTTGAAGTAAACAAACAACAGTCCTTGTTCTGAAAAATCCAAATGTACTCTTCCGGCCTCTAGATGGAGCTGTTCAGTTTTCTGCATTCCTGAACTCCAGCCTTGCCCCCAGCGCCTGAAAGAACCAGAACATTGAGTTCAGGACAAAGTGTTCACTGAGTGAATTAGAGCAAAACAAATTGTTTGTTTGCCAACTTTTGGCCGGGCAAAGCCATTTTAGGTGTATTGGATATGGAAAATATTTAATCCTAGTTTTAACGTTTAAAATGTTGAATTATGAATCGTCTTTAGGTCATGAAAACTGTGTATACATATAATTAAATTAGAATTGTGGAAAAAACGTTATCCTTTATAAAAGGGTTTAATTTGACCTTAATGCATTAGGTATCATTCATGAACTAGTTAACAATAAACTTATTTTGACATGGTTTATTACTCTGAACAAAATTATAAATGCATTTATGCATAATGCATTAAGTTTTTGCCCCCATTTTTCATGAGATGAACTCACAAGATCTAAAACTTTTTCTTTTTCTCTCAAATATTGTTCACAAATCTGTCTAAATCAGTTAGTGAGCACTTCTCCTTTGCCTAGATAATACATCCACCTCACAGGGGTGGCATATCAAGATGCTGATTAGACAGTATGATTTTTTGCACAGGTGTGCCTTAGGCTGGCCACAATAAAAGTCCACTCTAAAATGTGCAGTTTTACTGTATTAGGGGGGTCACAAAAAAGGGCTGTGTGAAGTTGCTGGATATTGTGAGGACCTGGAACACACTGGCATATACGCCAATCCAGAGCATCTCATGCTCTGGAATAAATACTGTACAACATGCTCAATGTTCAGTGCTCAAACATATGTGGCGAGTATACTGGCCATGCAAGATCTGAAAAAAATCTGATTATGCCAATATGAAGAAACAGATTCCAGACAGTCATCTTTTCTCAAAAAAGATTGTTTTTAATCAGTAAATCAAAACTTCACATGTGAAAATACATGAAATATGAAATAAATACCAAATGCACTAATCAAACAAACAGCCACACAAATTATGAAATAAATACCAAATGCACTGATCAAACAAACAGCCACACAAACATATCGTCTTAAAAGGAAATATTCTTATCATTAAAAATTTAAAAAAGAAAAAAATGCCAATGGTTTGCAGTCTTTCCACTTTCCCAGAAAGCAGACCATTCTCTATTCGTCTAATGACACGTCACAATGAATTTTTTCTGTTTATTTTGAAAACGGCTTTACAAGTCCTTGATCCATGGCTCTAGACAGGCAGGCCCGAGCTGCGTTAATAGCATCCTGCTTCTTGGGGTTGTCCTCCAGTTTTGCCACATATGTCAGGATTTCCAGCAATTCACTTTCAATGAGCTTCTTGGCTAGTTCATCATCAGCATCCAGCATGTTAAACACCGTCACAAGACCTCTGTGCTGAATATCAGGGTTATCATGGAGACACAATCTCTGCAAGATCTCAAGCCACTGCCCAGTCTGTAAATAATAAAATAAATCATATTACAGTCTATCATCTTTGGTATGAGCATCTGATTCAAACACTACTGTATACCACCACAATAATGGTAGATTGCAGTGGGATGTGAGGGCTGTTTAATGATACATACCACTTTAGTCATCTTAACAGCGATTTTCTTCTGTGCGGCAGTGAGCATAGCCAGTGCGCCTGCAGCCGCCCTCTGAAGCTGCTCATCATCTTCACTACAGAGCAGGACTAGAAGCTTAAGTTTATCATTGCCATCTTGTAGATATCTGTCTTGAACCTGTCAAAATAATGAATCTGGTCAATATTTACATCCAAACTTACAAAAAAGGCTACATTTAATAAGCATAATGTATTCTCAGTAGTAATTTCATACATCCTTGCAGCAAACCAGATTGCACATGCACTCTGTGGCGGCTTGTCTGATTTGCTCATGTTCCTCAAACATATAGTTTTCGATCTCTGGAAGTGCTTTTTCTTTTAGGATTTTCACTCTGTGGAAAGAGAGATAAATAATTAGATATGCATTTCCAGAATAGTTCAAAATTTTAGGTTTATGGATTTCTGTTTTGTCTTGTTTACTTCCATCCATCCATCCATCCAAGTAGTCACTCTCTGAGGAGGTACTTCATTTGAGTAAGTAATTACTTCAAAACCGTTAAAATGCATGTTCTATATATATATATACACACACACACACATATATATATATCCTTTTCATATACTGTTGTTCACCTACTATATAGCTGGAAAGTATACATATTAGGATGCAGCATAATGTGACACCGTATTTGCAGCATTTCATTAGAGCCTGCAGTTCCTCCTCCAGCCCACCAGAGGGAACCCTCAATGAACTTCTAGGAAGCCACTTCCTGTCCAGGTTGTATTTTATGTATTTGTGAAGTCTTGTAAGTGTTTATCTACAATTCTTTTGCACCTTTTGTTCTGATGTCTTGTTATTTTGGTCTTTGTTTTGTTGGTTCTGAATCCTGCCTTACCTTAATTTTTACATTTAATAATTAATGGTGGGGGTTGTTACGGCAAAAATCAATTAATCAAACATATCAATGCGTAAGATACACTCGTAGTAGTAAATCCTTTATTCTTGCAAGAAGGTTCAGTCTAACACACAGAAGTAGCCCTGTGGTGAGAGTGACACCCAGACTGCCCCCACCACACAGCTTTTATACCCAACTCAAGGTTTCTTGTTGTACAAGTCAGCTCCTGATTAGGAATTCTTATGCTTCACAGAAAAGGTCAGCGCTTGCTGACTAGCCCAGTCAGAGTGGCCTCTGGGGTCAAAAGTCTCCTTTCCACCTGTTTCTGTGGGTCCTCTCATGCACGTTCATCACATAGGATCTTCTCATGTACAGACAGCACATGCTCTGCTCATGCATTCAGTTCAACACAACCTAATTCTTAATCTAATAAATCAATCACTAATAAGTACTGTAGGATCATGCAAAACTAAAATTTTCCTCAACAGGGTTTTAAACAAATCCCTAACTAAAATGTTTGACACTCACCGAAGTTTGTCGTTTAAGGCAGCAAGATTAGTAAGACCCAGCAGAGCTTCAAAGTTTTCCATTCCATCTCGTTCTGTATTTAGCAAGGAAACCAGTGGTCGCACAACTTCATATATCTTTAATGGAAAGAGTAAACATGGAAAATCAGATATTAAATTTTATTTAACCATTTTTCATGCTCAGAAAAAATGTTTATGTTTATTTGAAAAGGGACAATGTACACTAATCAACATTCACAACAAATGTAAGTGCACCCGAGTTAGCCACAGGCTAGTTTTCATCGGCAGTCCCCTTGCCAGATGTTACTAGGCATCCTAAGATAATAAATAATAACAGTGCAATACAGTTCAATATACAATAAACAAAAAGTAAAAAGAATAGACTATGTTAAAATCACAAATAATCAAATAAACATGAGATATAAAATATAATTAGATGTTAATAAACGATACAATTATTGTTGGTGAATTGGACCCGCATCAATGTTGACAGTGTTGATTTTCAATAAGCCATTTCTTAACATTAATCATATATACTTAATATTTAAAGTAATGTGTAATATCATGGTTTTCAATAATGTGTCGTGAAATGCAAAAATGTATTTTAAGGTATCATTCCCCTTGAAGCTTTACCCTTTTGTCTGGCTACAGATGTAAAAGGTTATCTTACCCTCTCGCCAGGAAAGGCGATTTCAGGATTGGAGACGGCAGCGATCTTAGCCAGAGCATGGCTGGCCTTTATTTTTCCGTTTTTAGTTCCCTCCAGGGCTAATGGGATCAAAGCCTGTCGCACATAGTAGTGATTAGTTTTTATTTAGCAAAATATGAGATTCACTATATGGGTTTATATTTGCTCTGTGGTCTTTTACCTTTCCTCCACCTTGAGCTACAATTGTGCCACGATCTTTCACATCATTTGCCAAGGCAAGAAACACTCTGGGTGGACAAAAATAGTAAATGTATTAACTTCAGCAGCATAATAAACTGTACATAATCAGGCTATATTATATTTTTTTGCATCAGGTTCCAAAATCAAAAACAAGCGACAGTACCAGAACAAAACATAAAAAAATTAAAGAGATCTTCACCTTGAAAGCATCTCTTTGGTTTGATCGGTCAGGATGGAATTATCTGCTTTGACCATGACGGCGATAGCTGATGTCACTCCCGCTTTTAATAGCCTTTTCACTCGCCTTTCAATAAAGTCCTTCTTATCCTAAAGCACAAGCAAAATGCTTTGAAATATATATGAACTCAACTTGGAAGCAGTGTGACATATTTATGAGTATTTATTAAGAAACTAAATGTAAAATTTGTACTTTTATAGATTCATTTGCCACATCATAGGATTCTATCTACTGTATGTTACCTTCGGGTGCTGCTCAGGGACGTGTTGTTTGGAGAACTTGGCCAGCTGCACCATCTCTGGGAGGATATCTTTCTTTTCATAGCTGTTGGTGCAGTTGACCAGGGTGCAGGTGACAGCATATAGGATGGTCTTATCTTTTGACTATGAGAGAAAAATATGTATACTGTAAATTTGTACATACATGTGAATCTTCTCTATTAGGTTTATTAGATCTTTCACATACCTTGGCGAGTTCAAACATGGCCCTCATGGCTGCTTCATCCTCAACAAAGTCATCTTTTACATCAGCATCATTGGTAAGATAAGCCAAACCTTCAATGGCCCATTTCCTGGTGCGCACATCAAGTGTAGGGTTGCAGAGCCACCTGGAATAAACC